TGAGAAATAAAATAGTTGTAATATTACTGAGGTCTGTTATACTGTGTATTTGTGTATTTTTGCGTCGTGATGAAAAGTATCGTTCATAACTCGTACCAAAAGTTATTTTCCAGCACTTGATCCATTATTCCCGTCCTCGGCTTCGCCTTGTACGTGAAAATATCTCTCATATTTTTGGCTTCGCCTCGCACGTGAAATTGGGGTTTCCTGTGTAACACACAAAAACTTGAGCGCGCGCCGGAAAATGCCACTTTGGGTATTGGGGTGTTTTTTTTTTAAATATTTTTATTGAAATGTTGATAGCTTAGTATTAATGAAACAACATTTTCAAATTTGATTATAATATATCCATAAACACGCAAACTAAAACAGTTTATTTATTCTTCATAAGAATAACATGGGAATTTTAAATTATTTTTTTATCATCTCCGTACCTTTTGGGCATACAACAACGCTTCAATATACAAAATTATTTCTTTTTTGAGCTCTACAAAATAATTTGGTTCATTATAAAATTTCGTGTTTTTAGGGTTGAAAATCGGAAAAATCTATTTTACCCCATAAAACTCCCTATAAACCCCCGTTCCCATAGTCCGATCGTGCTGGTTTAATAGTCCAAACTCGTCTGAAAACGTAGGTTTACACGTTTGTGATAAATTTCATTAAAAGTGGATCATTTTTGCTCGAGTTATCAAATTAAGTCGTAGTTCTGTCTTCGGATACAGATGTCGTAGTGTTGGCTTTACACTTTATGAATGGATTCTCTTCGGAAGGTTTGCAGGAATTGTGGATGCGACTTGGTTCAGCCAGAACTTCATGATATGTACTAGTTCACATTATAGCAAACAGGCTTGGAAGTAACCTTTGCTCAGTTCTCCCAGCACTCCATATTTTAACGGGCTGTGACTTTGCCAGCAAATTTGGAACAAAGCGTGCTACCCTAAAATGTAATCCTAGTACTTTGCTAATGGACTTTGGAAAAGATGGGGAGGAAGAGATAGAATAAAGTTTGAAAAACACAGAGAAGTATCTAGTTCACATTTAAAAAAAGGATACTCAGTGTGAAACTATGAATGATCTAAGACACTGGATATAAGTACACCGTCACTGTACAACGAATACTTTTAAAGAACTGCATCCTTTGCTCGTGAAGAAGTTCTGTCTAGTAGAGCTACTAGACAGCATATCTTACGTGATTTTTATTGTACATACTTCCAAATTCATTGCTTGGAAGAACACTTTTTTCAACTCGATCCTTTGAGTTTTGGATACAGTGATGGTGGTTACTCTTTGTTGGTTTTTGGGTCAAAATCTGATTTCCAGCTTTGCCCAAATGATCTATTAGAATGCTGCAACTGCAAAACCTGTCCCAATCAAAGCTGCACATGTGTACGAAACTAGCTGGCATACCGTGTTGCCCTTTTTTAAATGTAGAAGTGTTCCTGTAGTTGACTGCCGCTATGCACACAAGTATATTGTGAACAGTTTCATTTTTCTGATGACTATAAAAGGGAACAGATCTAAATCCTCTTAACCCAAAAGGCTTATAATTTAGATCCAATAACTGCGCTCAAATTTTATGATCCACTAGTTCAATATCAATAGCAGTCCGAAGCAGCCTACCACCAAAGACAATGTCAAGGTACTGGTTGTGTTAACAAGACGTCAATGCTTGGCCGATGCACCAACTTTGCCGCCGGTCCCGTTCCCGCTCCATCGCCGTTTTAATAATAAATGTTATGAATTATAATAATAGTTACTGTTACATCCGTAGATCTATAATTATTTGTGATAATAAAAAATCATTATATAGAAAGGTCTATATTTTTTTATTTGTATACGTCATGTAATAACAAAAAATTAATTTAAAAATATTTTATTATTATTTTAATAACTTATATATCTGTCAGAAGCTTCTCGAATGCTTTTTGCAGGTTTTTTACCTTAAATGCGAAGAAAAAGTGCTATGTACCAAATTACAAAATAACAGCTTTTTATAATTATTAGTTTTTTTGGCAACAGAGATAAAACTTATAGGTTAAATATGACAATTTTAATATTTTAGTAGAAATGCAGCCAGGTAAATGTTTGCTTAGTCTGCAGGTTTGCTTCGGTGGGGGTATTTTGACCTTAAATGTAAAGAGCAATAAGTGCTATGTGCCAAATTAAAAAGAACAGTTTTTTTTAAAGATATTAGAATTTTTTGCCAAACAAAGTAAAAATTTATAGGTTAAATTAGCATAAATTGCTCAACTACTCCTAAATAGTTATATTTAGGGCATTTTTGTAAATACAAAAGTTGTTTCTTATTGTGTAAGCAACATTTATTGTAATTAAAGTAACTCGCTATATATTACCGTTTTCGAGATATAAGCTCCAGATGAGTTTCATGTAATAAATGCCGCCGCCATTTTTAAAATGGCGGATTCTGAGGTTATGCCCACTCTGCCAAGCTGGCACCCACGTTAAAAATGATAACCCACATAGTACCTACATGATCCCTTAGGGTGTTTTTCTATACATAAAATGCACACGGGAACCCCCCTAGCAAGTGGATTAAATAGCCGCCATTTTACAGTATGACGGCAAACTAAAATTCCTTACTGGACACCACATTTTTCGTCTCAAGCTACTCGTTTAGGAGTTAGATATGTTAGATATGAGAACAATTGCGTTATGTACATTCTGCACCCAGTAGCTTCTATCTTAGAAATGCATCATCATTCTAAAAGGATAATAGAATACATTAAAAATATTAATTTAACTGTAATAAAAAGGGCACCATTTTAAAATAGTGTGGGTAACATTAAATTTAAAAATCCTATATTTTATTATCTTTTAGAATGAAGATATAATTTTTAGATTTATTAATTATTCTTTGTATGAATAAAATCGTATTTACATTCCACCATTACTTATTGGGAAATAAAGGAAATTTTTAAGCATTCATTTTTCTTATGTTATGAAAAAAAGTTTAACTTATCCATATAATTTTTCCATATAATTATAATAGTTTCTGAAATACCAATGGTGCCACAGTTAAGTTGTTAACAACCCTATATAGTAGTCATTTTCGAAGGTAAGTTGCATATTTTTATACATACAATATTCATGCAAATATTCGTCTAATTTGGTGATTTATTCGTGTATTTGTGATTTCAATTCAATAATTGGAAACAGTCATTATCAATACTATGTGTGCAAAACTTTCTGTGGGGATTAGTCTCAATTGTTATTAGGAAGTTCCTATTACAGTTTATAAGCAAATCCAAAACCAGTAAAATTCTACAACTTGACGATTCCAATTCAAATATTATAATGTTTCTAATGTTGCTGTATACCTTGAAAATGACAAATATGATGAAACATATGTAGTGGTTTAGTCGAGTCAAGTCAAATCATTTATTTTCACACAACGTTTTACAGATCCAGCATAGCTGAGAAACAGGTGAAATGGTCATGGACAATTAAAATACATAAAACTATAATAACTATACAATATGCTAAGAAATCTAATATATACATCATGTAAAAAATCATTAACTTTGTAATACCCTTTATTAAGCAGCAATTTGGTAACTTCTTTTTTTTTGTATTTTTCAAGAGATTCTAATGATTTAATATTTTTTTCAGGCAGTTTATTATACAGTTTTTCCCTAGATATTGTGGAAGGGTTTCAAGTGAGGTAAGTCTATTAATGGGCAGTTGAAAATCATTTCGATGTCGTGTTAAATAATTATGGTTATGGTTTTCATTCAAAAAAGATAAAAGATTTTTTTTTATCGAGATTAATGTTTGCAGGATATAAACTGACGGAAGTGTTAATATTTTCAATTCTCTAAATAATAATTTACAGGACTGCCTAGGTTTGAAAATTTCATAATTCTAAGGATCTTTTTTTGAATTTTGAAAATGGTTTCGGCATTTGAGCAGCTGCCCCAGAACTCTATTCCATACAACATGTTTGACACAAACAAAGCTTAATAAACAAAACACACTATTTGAATTCTTAGGTTAAGAATACGCGAGTATAAACAGGAACAAGTCGGATCAACAATTAAATTGTCAACTGATCAGCTGATTAGTTGACGTTCGAAACATTACAATTTTACTTCTTTTCTCTCAATCCTTGAACCACATTGGTCCGTTACCCGTGTTGTTGTGAGAAAAACTATGCTGTTATGAAATGAAACTATGCTGTTACGAAAGTAAACAGCTGTTAAGTGAAACTTTTCAATCCTAAGAACTGAAATGAAATGGCTACTTTAAAAAACTGTCGTAGGTAATTGTATATTACGTTAGTAGTCCTGAAAATAAGTGTTTACCGGACGAGTGTGGTCGTTCCCGTGCGAGACGAAGTCGAGTACGGGATTACTATTCGAGTCCGGTAAACTCATTTTGGACGAGCGACGTACGATATTTTACGGCATACTACTAAATCCGTACAAATCCTTATATATTACCACCAACTAAAGAACAACAATCACTAGTCATAACCTCTAAGAAAGGTTATGTTTTTATTTATAAACATTCCTTGCCACCTAAATACAGTATAATCAGCTGATTGGTGTCCGGTAAAACTCATTACAGTACAGTAGTACGCAATGAAACCCCATTTGATTAAGCTGGTGGCAAAGAGTTGTTTTCTGGACTAAATCCTTGCGTGGGAAGTTCGTCAAAATAATGCAGTCTTGCGTAAAATTCGTTACAGTACAGTAGTACGCAATGAAACCCCATTTGTTTAAGCTGACGACAAACAGCTGTTTTCTGGACTAAATCCTTGCGTGGGAAGTTCGCCAAAACATTGTAGTGTGGCGTAAAACATTTTTTACTGATACACTCATTAGTTAATCATCCACACATGAAAGGAACGAAATGCAAGAACATTGCAAACGTGGTGTTATATATCAGCCGCAGTAGATGGTCTGGATATTCAAAACCTTTGGATCACTTTCGACCGCAAACCTGATGTAACTTATCTCTCTATGTAAGTACTCGTAGAACGTAGAAGAGTAACATTTATCGATTCTCTCTTGACACTTGTGCATCGCCCTGAACGAGCAGGTATGTTGCAATTGGTTCTGGTCCCATCACATTACGATTGTAAGGACTATTACGATGTCGTCATGTTTAATGGTTTATGGCAAACTTGCTTTTTAAACGATTTTCAAGAATGTAAAAAATGCACTTCATTGCTTAATCAAACACTGTGACTAGTTTTACAACTTCTTTTTTTCAGTTATCTGGATATAAATAATAATGAACTACTGTTTTGGTTTGAATTCAGTTGTGAAGTGTAGGGGTTTTCAACGGATTTACTTTTTATACATCAGATAGGTAAAACAAGTTAAAATAAATTGATAGCTATCTTTCAACAACTCGCTAGACGCTAACACTAACTGAGCACTAACAACTCGTATGGTTTGACAAAAATAGGGGTATCCCATCTTAATGATTGATAAAATGATTGATACAAATTGATTGATGTGCACTAGTTTTACATTGTATTAGACAAGTAAAACCGTAAAAATAATAAGTATACTATTGTCTCGATCTTATCTGAGTATCAGTCTTTATTCACCGTTATGGTATTTTGCCTACTAGATCATCGTAATTTATTATTAATTTATGGGCTTTTTTATTCGGTTGGAATTAAAAAAAAGTCTTTTAAAAATAAATGCCAGTTTCCAGAAAAAATAATAAAATGGCAGACACATGACACATTAAATTTAAATTTCTAATTGAATGAAAATGGGTAGTTTTATAAAAATATTTTTAAGGTTTACATATTTTAAATGCAAATCTCACGGGATTTATCTTTTAAGCTTTAGTTTAGAGAAATGTAATAAATATTGAATGGTTGAGTTTGAATACTTAAAAAAAATTAATAGATAATTTTTCATTCAAATTATATACCTGTTTTATGTCTTATAGCTGCAAAAGTAAAAATAATACTTAGCTGAAATATATGTCTAAACTGAAATAGACAATGCTGATACCTGCTGACTATAAGTTAATTACAAAAATACTACGTCCTAAGGAGAAGATAGAACTATGTTAGCATGTGTACAAATGTTAATAAGGAAACTAAGTTCCCAGCCTTTTGGTAAGAGGAACTTTCATCCGCAGTCTGATTCCTGAGAAATCAAAGAGGTCCTGATGGCATTCTTGCGGAAATCCTCAAGCTCGTTGTTAAGTACAATCCAAAACTACTGTTGGATATGTTCAACGCCTGCTTGGTAGATGACGTTTTTCTGTCGGCGTGGAAGGATAGCTTGACAACTGTTCCTAAATGTAACTACTTGGTCAATACCAATACAATATTCTTATTCTTAATAGTGAACACTCGTTTGGAAAAATATTATCAAAGAATACTTTATGTGAAAATCAGTACAGTACAGCACGGTCATAAAACAGGCTGATTGGTACATGGAAACACTGTATAAAAGGAAATACAAGCAATATTACATATTTATGAATGCATTGTAACTCTAATTTACCTGTTTCTTTTATCAATTGAATATTAGATCGAATGCAATAAGCATTTTAGTAATAGTAGACAATGCAAGTACATATACCCCTGTAATACAGTTTGTCAACATCCTGTGTACTCTTACAAACAAATATGGTTGTTAAAGGTTTTGTCCAGGTTTGGGTAACCATGGAGTTAGACAAAACTGTTGTTGCTCTCAAGGAATGGATCAATGAACAAAGTGAAATCCCAGAAACACCAGGTAAAACACATAATATAATATGTATAATTAAAGTCATTGTCATAATAATCATGAATTGTACAGGAAAACGGATTATAATTTGATGCTGACATATTGTATGTCCTAATTTTCCATCTAACATGTCTTTTTTGGGTAGATGAGTGCCTTTTTAATGATTCATAAATTGATTATCTATTATTTCTATTCAAACTGACAAAATAGAGCATAACTCAGGCCGTAATATAGTATGTGTATAGTAAATTATCAAAGTTGGATTCATTTAAAATATATCTCTATAGATTAATTGATTGTTTATAGCTGGTATTTCAAAGCTTTTCTGACACCGTATAAGCACTTAGCACTTTGCTTTGATCTAACCTAATGTTGACATTCAATAGATATTTCTATATATAACTAAACATTTTCAGTTCATCATTAAGCAATATCCCAATTTACATAGCAATGAAAAAATTATTAAAATATGTATGTTAAAAGTGATCACAAAGTTGAAAGAATCCATTTTAAACTGATATTGATTGATAATGCTATTCTTGGAAACCTTTGAAAATAGGCAATAAAGCACACAGAAAGAGAATGAATGTACCAAACCACAAAAATTTAAAAAAGAATAAAACTCTTTAAGAGTAGTAGGCCTTTTTAGCTGTATATTTTTTATTCATTGCTAGACATATTTTTACAAGAAACGTGAAACACCCTCAAGTTCCCCTTGATTCTGACCAATCGGAACCAAATGGAAAAACATAAAATAAATGGTGCATTTTTGTGAACCATTCAAATTATGTCTTGATTTGTCTACGTACAGTGTTAATTAAGTAAATAAAAGTACATTAATTAAATAGATAGGCACCGATACCTAAATCATATTTTAAATCAATTTGAATCAATAACATTCATTCAAACTGATGTCCATTAATTGCTATGCATTTTTATAGTACACTGCTAGAAAACCTTTTTCGATTATTTTGTTGTCATTTTGTTGCTATGCAGTTTTTTTTACGATTGATCAGAACTAAATGAGACTGGGGGGTATTTCTTACACATGTATTTATTATAACTTTAGAGTTTCAAGTTTGCAGCATGTTTGAATCGATATGTCTAGTATATCAATTCAAAAATTAAAATCTCTTCATGGGACACCCTGCCCTGCATACTCGTATATATACTATCAGGGATTACAGGAGTAGACATTTTGAGTACTTATTATACATTCAAGTGTTGTATACATTCATTGGTTTACTCCTTTAATATGATAAAACTTTAGAGTAGCAAATCCCTAGGTTAAAAATTTTGAAACATTCATTTAGAGGCGTTGAAAACAGAGGTTTGATGATAAAAGAGTGACCCTTAGTTGAGATTCCACTGTACCTTATTCTTTTCAATATTTTCTTTCTATCAGATGCAGATTTGAAGCTGTTTGCTCATGTGGCAAATGAAGACCTAGAAACAGCAAAGAGACTTATCTTCAACTATTACTCACATAGACTCAATGGTTATGAAGCTCTATTCAAAGATCGTGACATTGACAATGATTCTCTCACTAACATTAGAAATGTTTTGTAAGTTTTAACATTATTATATTTACCGGTACCGCATTATAAACGTAAAGTTAGCTATATTTATGATACAAACTTTTACAAAAATTGTCAAGAATCATGAAAAGAGTAAAGAACTGCATGCTGTCATCATCTCTCATTAAATTTATACTATGATGAGTAAAATTTATGCAAAAAATAAAGGCAATAACCGAACTTCGTACAATCCTACACTCTTATATGACTATATGGGCTGTAATAAAATGTTTCTGTTAGATAAGTTTGAAAAGTGTACAAAAAATGCTCACCTCCGAATGTTATGTTAAAAATTGATTATAATGATTAAAAATTATGTTATCCAACTTAAAGGCCAGCCCAAACTGCCGCAGTATGCGGTACGGGTAAACCGCCAGGTATTTTAACACCATGTGAGCTAATGGGAGCGCCCACACTGGTGCGGTATACCGCCACCAGCGCCGTACAATTTACCCTCGTACCACAAAAAAGCTGCATTCCCTATTTTTGCTGCACGGTATTTCAGCGGTATGCATATTCTCAGTATAGAGCAGTTGTAAATTGAAATAGCAGCATGTCAACTGATCTCTGTACTGCGCCAGTGTGGGCACCCTACAATACAGCTACCGGTGTATCTGTCAAGGCGGTATAAATACCCATACCGTAGACCGCGTACCCCCGCAGTTTGGGCAGGCCTTAATCATCGTAAATAACAACAGTATTGTTACACTCTACAGTAGGAAGGAATGACATAGTGGGAAACTTTAGACTTGAACATGATTTTAATTTACTTAAAAAATTGGGAGACTGAAACCAACTATTTACAACATTGGAGCAATCACTTAATATTATTTAACACTTGAAATAATACCATCTGTTCCAATTTCAAATACATTGAAACAATTTTCATGGACATTAGAATTGATCTTCAACACTCCCCTACAATTCTTCAATCCAATTCAAATTAAACAAACATAACTGATTAAATAAACTTTTAGAAAAGTCCCAGTTCTTTTCTGAACTTTTTAAACTTGGCAATTGATAGCTCTTTAAAAAAAAATCACCAACTTGTGTTTTAATCTCTTTGTCTCAGAGTCGTGGCCGTGTTTTGATCTCTTTGTCTCCAGAGTCGTGGCCGTGTTTTGATCTCTTTGTCTCCAGAGTCGTGGATCTTGATGCATGATCTTCATAAACCAATACTGGTAACACTTCTATAAACAACATTTCAGACATCAAGCGGGAGATAAAAACACATTCAGTAGCACAAATTGCTAAAGCGATGTACTCAGCTTCACAACTAGATAAAGCTACAACAGGTTGTTTCTTTGTTTTCCATGCAACTGTATTATCGAATACCTTAAATGTGTAGCCATTTTTTTCTTTCTTTAACGTCATTTGCAAAATCATAGTCGCTGTAGCATTGTGTTTCCCTTCCTGTTGAGTGTTCTTTAGTGTACATAAGAGATAAATACTTTGTTCCAATCAAATATCTTACAATACTTTACAGATGGTTCCAGTGTGAAATCAAAACAATTTTGAAAAATGCTGAAGTATGTAACTGAATAACAAAGATCAGGTCTAGTTCCCAGCATATTAAGCTTCCAAGAAGTTGTTTGTACGGCAAATTGGTATAGCATTTGTCACTTTTTACCAACTGAAGTATTGGCAAAGATACCGGTTTTGTATTTTCCATCCCGAATTTATGGATTATTTTCTCAATCAACTTCGATTGATAGAGCTTAAGACCCTGATGACATTTATCAATAGAAATACCTAGGAACTCTAGGTGATTTTCATCATTAAGTCCTTCTTTCAAAAGTGGAGATCAGCTTAGATTTGACACTTAACAAAGCATTCTTCCATTCCAAGTCAACCTTATCCTCAATTTAGTAGCCCATAACCTGTTACACTCTACAGTAGGAAGGGATAAACTAGTGGGAAACATTAGACTTGAAAATGATTTTTATTTACTGATAAAAATGGGAGACTGAAACCAACTATTTACAACATTGGAACAATCACATAATATTATTTTACATATAAAATAATACCATCTGTTCCAAATTCAGATACATTTGAAACAATATTTTCATGGACATTAGATCTTCAACAAGTATGACAGAAGGTTTGAAATTTACAAAATAAAATACTCGTACAATAGAGTTGTAGCATTACATATTATGAGTAGTGTGGAGTGTTGACATAAAGTGACAAGGTGAGACTGATGTTTGAGATATTATCTTAATTTTTCCTTTTGGCTATTACAGTGAAACCTTCATATGCCCCAAACCAACCCCTGAGGGTTGCAAAATTCTGATCAGTCATGCACTCACCTCAGACACCAAGAACTATGACATGATTGCTCAGATGAAGTACTTTGTTATGACTCTGGAGGCTAGCTTGATAGATGAAGACTTAGGACCTGGCCATGTCGTCATCTTTGACATCTCCACCCTCACCACAGGCCACATCCTCAAGTTCAGTCCCAGTGGTATCAAGAAAACCAGCAACTACTTGCAGGTAAGCATGTACGTACATTGAATCTACCACACTCAAAGGTTGTTTTGAGGACGGCAAACAGGCATCATTCTTCAGGGGTCAACGATAAGGTCTTTCCAGGCAAATTTTAGTTATTAAAAAAATGTATACTTATATCAGGGAGACTTAGACCTCTCACTTGCAAGTTGCCATGACCACGTCTACATTGATGATCGAGTAAACTGTTCTATTAATATTCATTTGTTTGACTCAGATAAAGGGAGTCAACAAAATTATTTTTACTTGCTCTATCAAACTATCAGTGACTTTAAATTATAGCTGTACGCTTTTATATTAAAACTACTGGAGTCCATTATCATACATCACAGAAACGTCAGTATTGATCTATAAAATGAGGATGGATTTGTCAAAGTCTTAAAACAATACACATACACACACACGCAAATAAATAATTAAATATTATAACTGACTTGTGTCAACTCTAAATGTTGCAATGATGAGTAATATTGGATGTTGATTTCCAGGGAATTACAAATTTACCTCATACTTGACACTTCGATCCTTATCAATCAAGGGGTTTTAAATTCATACAAGTTACACCTCCTCTTATAGTTTCGACGCTGACGACGCATGATCAATCATGACAATTTTAGTTTCTATATTGTCTATCAGGTGTCAATACCAATACATAGATCTACTCACCCAAGTGGGAGTCGATCAGTTACAGGGAACGTCAAAGACAAATAATACAGCAACGTTCATGGTCTTTAAGAGCCCATGGATAGAGCAATCCCTCGGTTTGCATGTGACCCGCTTTAGGACCAAGAGCTATTTGAGCCCCCTTCCCCACCTTCCTTGCTCGCAGGGGAATTTTAATCTTCCTTGGGCTTCCATCAAACCTAAAACCTCTTACACCCTTGGTCCAGGGACCATTTACAAAAGCAGCCATGGTACAGAGCACTAACAGATTTAAAAAATGAAGAACAGATAGAAACCTTCCCAGGTATACTTAAAACAGTTTCTCAAACTTTAATTGCAATCATAAGAACCAAAAAGCATAAAGAACTAACTGATAGACATATATTTAACAGTTCACAGTGCAAATAAGAGACGAGAGTAGTAGTATTTTTTAAATAGTCGTATTTAATCACATTTAATTAACATTATTTCTAATTGGAAAAGGTTTAATAATACCTGCTATTAAGCAATCCAATGTTGTTGTTAGCACAACTAGTTAGTTTCGAAGCCTGTGTGACACCATCAGGCTGTATAAGGACAGTTTTCTTTCTTCATACGAAGAGCGTCATATAATTTACACGAAAATAATAAATAAACACGACACAAACAAGAATACGAGACATTTATGGTAACAGATCAGTTAAGAAAACAGACGACGCTAACCCGGCGGAGTTTGAGTCCGGACTCAAAGTGTAGACTCCAGTGTATATAGTCAAAACTCAAACTCTGCCGGGTTAGCGTCGTCTTTTTTCTTAACTGATCAGTTACTATAAATGTCTCATATTCGTGTTTGTGTCGTGTTTAAATGTTTATTTATTATTTTCGTGTAAATTATATGACGCTCTTCGTATGAAGAAAGAAAACTGTCTTTGTACAGCCTGATGATGGTGTCACACAGACACCGAAACTAATTGTGCTAACAACAACATTGGATTGCTTAATAGCAGGTATTTAAACCTTTTCTAATATTATTTGGCAATCCGGAGGCTAACACCTACAATTAAATTATTTCTATAACTATAGGAGGGGATTCCATTGAAGATTCAGAATGTCTACTTGGTCAATGCTTCTCCAGTGGTGGACATAATGATGAAAACTGCAAAACCTTTCATTAATATGGATCTACTAAAACGAGTAAGTTAATTTAATAGCATCAACTGCCACCAGTTAAGACGGCAAATAGATTGTAGTCAAGTAAGAATGTTACATATGAATATTATTTTATTTTTCAAAACAGTAGGTATGGTACATGAAAGCTCTGATGCTTTACTTCATGGTGCTGGTGAAAGCAATGAATAGAGATGTCAAAGAATAATTTAGTCAAATTACCTTTCCAGTTTCAACATTATGGTGGATACAGTAGTCTCTACTAACTGATCATTATCCGTCTTCCATTTGCAGTTTCAACCACTGGCAGTTCGAATGGGACACAGAGTCTAGGGAATATTAGAACAACAGGCAATACCTAGCATGCGACCATGAGTGGAACGGGAGCATGGTGATGTAGAGTATTTTGTGACCCAATTTTTGTCGGGTCATGGGTGCTTCCGGGCCTTTTGACACAGAAAGGGGAAGGATGCCAGCTCGGACTGTATGTACTGTTCCGCCATTGCAGACATGGCTGAGCACACCTTCTTTTGCGACAGATGGCATTTCTGCCGAGCCTCTTTGATCTCTGAGATCTGCGTTGACATCATTCCAACAACATCGTTGGAGCTATGCTCCAGGGAGAGGGCACCTGGAACTAGTTTACCACAGCTATAACATAGCTACATAGTGGTAGTTTCGGGCTACGGAAGACAAGAAGAAAAGTCCTAGTGGTATAGTTGAAAAGGCCTAGCCTGAAGAAATGTGCTAAACAGTTCCAGGCTAGTGTCCTAGGAGATGAGGGGTTTTTTTAACCAGAAGTCGGGGATAATGAGCCTGCAGCAGTCCGGCACACTAAGATTGAGCATCTCAGTGTGTGTAAATGCATTTTTACCTCCTCCCCACAAAAAAAATATCAAAAAAATTCTATCTGATGTTAAGCTATTTAATTTTCTGCTTCATTTGATTCTCTCTGAAGACAATAATGTACCATAAGATCATGTTACATTTACATGTAGCATGACTTTGCACTGTGGCAGGTATGTCAAGAGAACCCATTTATTGCCTTCGACTGTGCTCGGAAGATACGCGTCAAGCTTTAGGTGCTTGCACTTGATTATACTTTCTCTTTGTTTTCACATGCTGTATACCATATGTTAAAATACCACATGTTTGCCAACTTTTACCTATGTACCTATGATGTACCTATGTACCTCTCAGTTGCCCCTAGCATCTTAGCCTTCTTAGAGTAAGTGGAGACCCAGAGCTGAGTGGACAACTGTTCCAGGAATAGGATTTTTTCCTTTCTTGTTAATTCTTTAATTTGTGATTAATGCTTCAGAACAAAAAATTGTTTGATTAAAATGTACTTATTTTGTTATATTAACCTAATTATCAATTTTGTATACAAAGTTTTTACCATTCCCTTTATTTTTCTGTCTTATCCAACCATGTGTCAGCTATTTTAGGTTGGATAGTCAAGATCTACTGTATTATATTATTTAATAAAGAATAAATAACTTGCTGACACCAAGGAGTATATAGAGGAAACCACGTTTTTGAGATCCAAGAACCAAGTTTTTGTATGATGCTAATTGGGATATATTAACTTGGAGATGTCAATCTTTAGGAATATATAAAGTTAAATATATTGTATGCATTTTTGAATGTTTCTATACTTAAATTATTTCCAACGGTTACATATTTTCTAAGTAGCAGATCGTACTTGGTGGCAATGTATTTACTAATCATATTTACAAAAGTGTTAATTATTGAATTTCTTGGTATCTATTTTTGTGTCAACTAAAGAGACATGTATTTGCTGATATCATTCTACAATTTATGTAAAAACAATTATAGCTTAAAATTTTATTTTTAGACTCATATCTACAGATCAGGCGATATGGAAAAGTTGTATGAACATGTCCCTAAGAGTTGTTTGCCTGAAGAGTATGGCGGATATTTGGGACCCTCTTCTGCTATAAACGGTTAGTTGAGGTTTGTTTTCAAAACCATGAAAAAAGAAGAAGCAAATATTATACTTTTCAAAAGGGGTAAACACTAGCTGAAACGTAACAATAATTAACCTAGTTGGTATTCACCTATTTCATCAGTAATATGTAATTACGGTAAGTATTTTTTGGGGCATTTTTATTACGCCATCTCTATGCATGCCTTTTTTATGACCCCATTCAAGTTCCCCATGGAGTAATCTATGAGGAAATTGTAATAAGGTGATTTACAGTAAATATATTAGATTACAAGCTTACAAAAATAAACTTAACAGAGAAATATCCAAAATACTAATAATATGTAAAATTGTATTTGCATTCAAAAATTATTTATCCATATTAGAAATCCTATTCATACAAATATTTCCTTAAAAAATCATAATAATCAACAACTTGTGAGCTGATTTAAAAGAAGGACAACAACTAGAATTATCATTGTCAGACATTCTTTTTATCTGTGGTCCAGCCATCTGTTTTGATTTTTTGTGAACTCCTACCAATGGCTCTGCGGTGCTGATCTCAAATGTACAGTAATATGTAGGCCCTCTAACCAGTAGCAAATCAGGAGGTTGAGGTCAATATTTTAATTGTTGGTACTAGCTTCAAAACTATTATCATCATTATTTTGATCATTCCACAACTTCCATAAGGTTTTGATAAGCAAATGGAATCCACATTTACATTTGTATATCAAACTACACACATTTGTGCACTAAAAGGTTATGGTTTAATTTGAATATGATGAGGAATATGGTTGATAATGTTAACCTTTAATTAAAACAGTTGGAAATAGTTTCCATTAAGAACTGTTATAAGCAGACCAGAACACTCTCCTCTATAAGAAAATAACTAATAATTTAATATATTTTTTAGAAGAAAATACTGCAAAACTTCGTAAATTGAAAGAGAAATTCACCCAAGAGGAGGATATCTTAAAGACAATGAAAGAGAAGGGGAATTCATAAAATTTATATCAAAAGTAAAGTAGGTGAGAAAAATAATATTTTAAGCTTTTGCATCAAGATTTATTTGTGCTACTAAAATGCCTGGTATCAAAATGTGATATATTGAATTTATATGACACATGTTTTAACATTCACTATATTGAAAATTAAAGTTTTATTTTTATATCATGTTTATTTATTTTATTTTTGTTTATTTCCTGCAAGTATAAAATAGAGTTTATCTCTGTACAATGTAGGTGTTCAAAATTATATTTTCTCATCAAATAGAGCTGACTGAAAACATTTTTAACACATTAAGAGGGTGAAAAATCCAATTATTTCAGAAAGAATAAGTATTTGTGTTAGTTGGCAAAGCCTGAGCTCATAAGGGATGCTAGTGGGTTAAAATCGTGAGGTTTTAGCAAATTAATTTAGAGTGGTTTAATGAATTGAAATTTGACACAGAAACTTCTCTGCAGATGCAAAATTGATTATGTATTAGAACAAACAACCAAAAGCTTTGATGGTAATATAATTGAATTTTATACTAAATGCAAAGCAGTAATAGTGTATAAAAACATTAACCCTGCATCTGGCAAACGACTATTGACTAGTCGCTAAAACTAGTTCCTCCACTGGCAAAGGACTAGTCGTTTGAGCATCAATTTCTATAACTGCTAAGTTTCAACAGAAAACATCACTGTATTAGATATTGGTTTATATAATTTTACACAGGAGATTCTAAAGTTTATTTTGATATATAGTTTGTTTAAATACCGTAGTGTACTTATTAATATGGGATCACTTGACGAAGCAAGGTAACATGAACCATTTAGCTTAGATTTAGTGATCCAGATGCTACTTCACCAACAATGAAATCAAACAAAATGTGTATTTTCAAATAATATTTAAGTAAAAAAATGTTTTGTAAAATTGAGAAAAGTAACTTTATTTTTTTATTTGTACAAGCAGTTATGGTATAGTTAACTATCAAGTAATTTGTATCAGTACATCATTTTATAACTTCATAAAATTATTTATAAGCTAATTTTTTACATATATTCATATTTTTATAATACTATGATTTATACAACTGCACGGTAATAGGAATATAAACATATCTATCTATTTACAAAACTGATTGATTAATCATTAGGACTGAGAAGTTGACACACAAGTATATTTTCATTGTTATTTCATATATGTAATAATACCTGACTTCAATAGGTTAAATATACATACTGCAGCTCTAGAATTCTAATGTTTACATATTTCTTCACATGTAACCATCTTATGGTTAAGTTGAAAGATCAACAATCAAGATTGTACTCTTTTCTGGATAGTTGAATAAATTACAATGTATTTTGGAAATACAAAACAAGATATAAACATCTAAAAAATAAAACAAAACATCGGTTTATAACAGTTTCATAGCTTTACAGCTGTACAGTAAATAACAATATTGAGCATAATACATCTATAAATAAATATTCACACATAACCAAAGTTTTAATTCCATTAAAAATAAAGTACTTTGACCGACAATTTTTTTGTAGTGTCTGCTGTAATGAACAAATAAAAACAACAAGGCTCAAAATCTACTTATTTGGGCCAATATTATAATAGGATATAAGCAAATAAAGTACATAGATTACTTAAAAGTAGTAACAAAATAAAACACATTTTTGTTCCTTCTTGATATAAGTTTATAACCAAAAAAACATTATTGATAGGTGTATCTTAAAATTATTTTTTTATCAATCATTTTGGTCCACATTTCCTTGTATTAATAAAGGTCTAGAATTTCATTAAAGTTTATAACAAATTTAGTTAATGTCAAACTAATATTCAGTACTTTAAAGCGCAATACAACTTTTATGATATTTTTAAATCTATAGCCCTAACTGTAATAGCCCCAACTTACAAAACATAGATGAACAAACAATTTTAATATGTGGGCCTACATAAAACCATGGATAAAACATACTCCCTTAGTAGATTTATCATTCTTATGGATCAGCTGAAGACAATGTTCTCTCCGATGTACTGTAGAGGTCGAATTTTGTTTAAAATTTGTTTCGTGTAATTTCAGTAATTTAAAACCTCGTTTAACCAAATAAAACAATCTAATCATAAACAATAACTTATCTCATAGTTATGTAACCAAACAGTAACGCACAAATCATAGAATTAACCCTAAAATAAAAAAAATTTAATAATAGAAAAATAATAAAACAACTTTATGTTTGTAAAACTTAGTAGGTGATGTAAAAATTGAAAACATTTGTATTATGTAGCAAATTTAACGGAATAAATCATTCATTCATAGAAACAAAATTTCATTGACACCAGCGATCAGTGTCACCGGACACGAATTAGACATGAAAAATGAGCTTCAACATTTACAATGGGATGAGAAGTGTACTTGTGCTGGTTAGTCTATGCTACAATTTAATAAGTTTATGATTCGTTATTCTAATGAGAAAATAAAAAAATAGATATAGATACACAGTATTGATTGATAAGTTAAACAATCATTTAACTTCTGCCTTGTTTATACTATTTATTTACTAGTAAAGGGATAGAGGAGAAACAGTGAGAACCAAAAAAATAATGTGTTGATTTTTGGTTTTGAGTTTTAAAATCTTGTTTTTATTTTACCAATGTGTTTTACCATGGTTAGGATTGTAGTTAGAAAAAAGCCAGACTTTTTTCAGTAGAATTGGAGGACTTTCAAATGTTCACTATAGTTTAAGAAAACAAAATAAAACTTGTACAATTTTACTACGTTTTTTAAACACTAAGGCCTAATATTTTTAAATTTTGTGGAAGACAAGAATTGATACATGAAAATATAAGCATTGGGTTATAAATAAAAAAAAAACTAACTATATAATTCGATAAAGATAAAAATGATATTTACCTCTGTTATTTTTATGTAAATAAAAAATACAACTATAAAAATATTTTAAATCCGTTATTCATAGTATACTGTACTTCAGTTGCTAAATTCATGAGTAAATAAAATCTTGGAAGACCTAAAACTTATCTACTGGCAAAATCACATAGTAGGAATTGTTTCTAAAAATTACATATTTTCCGATACAGTTCATATTAAACCTAAGTTGTCGGTTAAGGCACTTTAAGGTTTGGTTGTGGTAGTTTTAGCAAGAGGCCGTGTTGTGGTTGGAGGGGATGATCTGAATCCTCTTGAGATCATCTACATCCTCTTCATCATTCAGTAACCGACTACCCTCGATATTGGTCTTTGATCGAGTAAAGAACCTGCAGCAGAGGAAAAAATACATTTTAGCATGAACCATCTCAATTCTTATGGTCTTAAGAAGATTCCAGGCACAAATGTTGGTTGTAGGTGAGTTTTATAGACAAATGTTAGTAACAAAAATCCAATTAAGGAAAATATATGTAACAATGGTGTAGTTTGATAAGAGGAGTATTAACGTCAGATTATAATCCAGGTATTCAAAAATGTAAGACTAAATTATGTACACAGTTTCCGTCAGACAAATCAAAACAATATGTATGTTGTTGGACATGTTTTGGTATTAAAACACCATCGTCAGCTTCAGGTACTTGACAAGTTTGTCAGTAGAAAACTTTTTCCCACAGACCAACTTTACAAGTATCTGAAGGTGACTGGTGTCTTACCACCAAAACATGTCCAACAACACAATATTGTTTTGGACATAGATGTTGTTGTCTAAACAAAAATATTGTTTTGAGCTGTTTGATTGAAATTGTTTAAGTAATTTAGTCTTGCATTATGTCCATCAGTTCGGGGACTAAAATATGGATTTTTAATGATTGGTTGGATCTAAAGATTAGTAAATATTTTTAGGTGAAGATTAGAGATAAAATAACTCTACCTTCCTTTAAACCTGTTTTCAATACTGATTCTATTGATTTGACTTAACTCAACTCCCAGTTACAATATGAAAAAACTCCATAGAGAAAAGGGTTATTTTCATAATGAAAATGTAGTTGACATTTGTAATCAAAGTGAGAGATGGGTGAGCTATAGCAGAACAAGAGAAAACAGTACTGATAAGGAGTTAGTGGCTATTATGATATGCAAACCAACAACATCACAACCATAATCCTAAACCAATCCACCTGCTAACCAACCACTTGGATTCTATTTTAAATGAGAATGTTGAACTAAATAGGACTGGTTTTGTTACTAAAATATTGAAATAAAGAACTACAGGCTAACTGCTAACATAAATAGAGGTATACATTTCTTTCATTTTCCATAAGTGTTATAATCGTACAGTGAAGTTTTTCAACAGTATATAAGTTGTTAATAACAAACGTCTAACTAGTAAAAACTCTAGTATCCATCTAGCCAACAACAAATTTTTAAATATCAAGGGTTTTGGTTGATGTTCCACAGCAAAACTTCAAAATACAGAGTGAGGCAGTGAAACGGCACGATTCTGATACCAGCTGACAAGGTATTGAGGGCTATTAGAGTACGGGGGAAATGACCATAGACGTCTAGACAAGTAGAAATCTCTGTAGCCATGGAGTGTTGTACGAGTGCTCAACATGCGTTTGCTGTAAAAGGCATATTACAAAAACGTGGATATTATGGTTTGCGCTCAGCACACTTTCCGTTAGGAGTTCAGTCTATCGCAATAGACTCCCGTGCCATCAAAGAAAGCTATCCTCCTTTGGGCTAATAACTTTGAAGCCACTACTAGCACGACAAAGCGCTATAAAACGATTGCAGACGTTATGCAAAAGCTAAAATTAATTTCCACTCATCTACTTAGGATTTATGTTAAAACAACTATCCTTTTTTCTAAATTAATTATTTGTGATTTTTCAAAATTGTGCCGTTTCACTGCCTTAATCTGTATATTTTAACTAGCAAAATTCAAAGCAGTGCCGCCACCCATTGCTGAGAGAATAACTTCTTTACAATTTTACTAAGTTCAGTGTTTTGGGTTTGACTTTTGAATTTTAAATTTAGGCGAATAAATATGTTTTCCATTTTGTGAATTTGTGTTGAAATGCCTTTGAAAATAGTTATGGCTATATTAATCAACAAAAGTTAGATATTCTACAAGATATCAAACATCTCTTGTTTGTCACAAAGCCTACTAACCTATTAAAACCAGTCATTGTAGTCATAAGAGTGAGTCATTGAATCATAAATATAATTTTTGTAGCACAGTACATCAAGTTTTGGACTAAGAAAACAAGCAAACTAGTTTTGATCATTAACCACAGTTAGAAAAAAATGCAAATCGACTATTTTGATTGTTTGTTCAAACTTTAGCAACAAACGTAGTAATTATTCCACGGATATGGTTAGAAAAATGTACACACTAAAGTTACACAGACTAGTGTAAATTTCAGACGTAAAACAAAAATACTGCTGCTCATATGTGCTTGATAAAAACCACCTCCTCAAGCATAAAAAACAAACCAGATTTAAAATATTCCATCACAATATAGAGTAATGGATCTGATACGTCCAAACCATTGGTAGTAACTCTATGAAGCAGGTGAATTGAAGCCATGTAACAGATTAACTTACACACAGATTAATGAACAAACGTCAGATTCAAATAAGAAAAGTTTTGGAATTTCAAGCAGCATTCAAACCACGCCAAACCATACCTTCTGAGGGATTAACAGGAAGAAAACTCGTGATACTAGAAAATCAAGATCAGAAAGACTCCTGGAAAGAGAAATTCAAACTCTATAATATAGTAATAATTTGTTTGTTGGGAACCTTTACGGGACCGCACAATTGACATCAGTATGTAACGTGTTTATGAAAAGATGATATCATGGCCTTTTACAGAGCGGGGTCTTGAATAAAAATCCAGTTTATCTTGCCTAAGGAACCCACATTTTTTACTTGATATTTGGACCTACAGATTAAAGTGAGCTGTACCACTGGTTATATATGGTGATAAGCAGGATTAGAACCACGGCCCCAGGGACAAAACTCCTGCACTCTAACCATCTAACATCCCACCAGCAGCATCCCACATATATACTACAAATACTAGGAGGGAGTTCTATTTATCACAACTAATTGTTAGTAGTGTCACTTGGAAAACTATGGTTATACCCAAGCTTTTATTTTACTTGTCCCACAAAAAGTTGGCAAGGAAGAAATATTTATGGGGTCTACTACAAAACAAAATCAGATTTCAGGAGTATTTATATTTTACAGACATACCAACCAAAACACTTGAACAATCTCTGACCTCAGTCTTACCAGGATACTTGTTTAAAAATAAACTGTTTGAAGGATATGTTATTAAACAAGAAGTTTGGAATCGAAGCAGGTAAAAAGATATTGTTGTTATTGTTAGTAAAACGGTAGTACATCTTATATCAACCTTGGATGTCTCAATTTTAAAGTTTAATGAAAACCATTTTTTTTTTCATAGGAAAACTAAATTGGAACCTATTTCATTATGTGTTGATTTTGTTGTTAAAAGTTATACTCTCTTTTATTAGTTGATAGAAACAAAATCTAAACAATAAAGCTATTACATGTAATTTGTTGTTCAGATTATTTTTTATAGTTTGTTTTTTTATCATAAATTTTTTACAAGGTTAAATTTGCTAAAACATAAGACAAATAATATTTTAAATAAGGAACGATTTTAATGTAGTTACCCTTATCTGACTCGTTTTAGGTAGTTAAGATAACGCATGTTTTATATATATATAACTGAATAATCTGAGGAAAATTACTTTGATAAATACACAATGACTATGGTTATGGCTATTAAAACTAACTAGAGGTCAATGATTTCACAAGGCAATTTAGTTTTAAAATATTGATTGTTAAGAAAACAAAACACTTGCAAATGTTTTATTAGTGTGTAATAAATTCACCACTTAAGAACTATAGAGGTATTCTCAGGTAGTGAGTGATTAAGGTTCAAGGGTTGTTATCTAATATTTTACACATTATTACTCTTTGTTTTTCATAATTTAATTAAATATAGAAGACCATACCTGGAGAATGTACTGCTGGTGGAATGTGAGAGATTAGGTCGCTCTATGTCATCGATTCCGCGATGAATGGATATCTGATCGGTCTCCCCAGCACTACATTTGTTGCGAGCTTCCAACACAGCGAGATACTCCGAAGTCGTCAAGGACTCCCGTGTCGGCTTTCGCCACCTGAAAAATAAATATGAATTCAGTGCTCACAGTAAAATCAAAAATATTTGTTGATCAGCCCATGGTGCAAGGATAGTCTAAATAAATCTGCAATGTATGTAAGAGTCTATAACCGTTGTAAATTGTATGTTATTTGAAGGATGTGGAAATAAATTTGACAGCTAAACCACACAGGTAACTATGTCTCTATGTCAAAGATTCTAAATCAATCTCCTAATGCAAGCAGTACTGACTGCTTTTTCACAACATTGGGCACATTGGGCAGCTATTTGTAACGTCAAAATGTATGTTGAATGACAGAAGAACAAAAACTGTAAAGTGTTAAATAAAATAGCTTTAAAAATCTTACTAAACCATTTATCAGTTTGTGTACATGGCACTCAACTCTTCACTTCAACTAAGCTCTACCACAGACAGGTAAACCCGTCACTCTCCTGGCATGGGGAGACAACTTCTTTGATCAGTTTGTGTACATGGCACTCAACTCTCACTTCAACTAAGCTCTACCACAGACAGGTAAACCCGTCACTCTCCTGGCATGGGGAGACAACTTCCTTGGTCAGTTTGTGTACATGGCACTCAACTCTCACTTCAACTAAGCTCTACCACAGACATGTAAACCCGTCACTCTCCTGGCATGGGGAGACAACTTCTTTGATCAGTTTGTGTACATGGCACTCAACTCTCACTTCAACTAAGCTCTACCACAGACAGGTAAACCCGTCACTCTCCTGGCATGAGAAGACAACTTCCTTGGTCAGTTTGTGTATCTGGCACTCAACTCTCACTTCGACTAAGCTCTACCACAGACAGGTAAATCCTTCACTCTCCTGGCATGGGTAGACAACTTCCTTGGTCAGTTTGTGTACATGGCACTCAACTCTCCAACTCTCCACTAACAACCACTTAGCTAAAAGATTCGCCCAATCCGATGATTCGAGGTGTATGTATAATCCAAGGATTATGAACACCGTACTATGCCCCAGTGGTTGTAGTATATCGCTACAAACACACAGGTCACCAATTATTTGCTACACAGGACGGAAATCGAACTCGAGCAAACAAATGCCACTGGCCAAGAGACACATGCCCTAGCCTTCTCGGCTATCTGTGCTTGGAGAATATTGAGTAAAAGCTGGTATTTAAGCAGACGTCAATAATCGCTAACAGATGGCGGACCCATCGGCGCTACAACCTAAGTTGTTCAATGCGTTACTAGATAGCAGCACTAGTTAGTCATGGACTATTTGGATGATATTTTTCAGCTGAACTACAACAGTGATCTTGAATGGTGTTACTGAGGCTTTACTGACAAATAGGTTTTTTTTCCAAAAAAGGCTATTTTATTTTTTCATTTTTTACCTTATCCAACTAAATCAAGGTTAAATTCAATATCACATAGTAAACTAGATGTTTTTAGATTTTATGAGATTTTGGTTTCAAATAATGCTATCAGAACATTACTATACAGTTACAATTCAATAACAGGTAAAGGAATTAAAAGGCAAACAAAAAAGTCTTACTAAATACGAATCATTGGCCTAGCCCTCAAAAGGTTAAACATATTTTTATGTCAATTTAGGAAATCTTATTTTCAGACTGTTTTTCAGCATTTATTTGAAATAGAACTTAAATGTTTCAAAACAAAATCAATCCATTGTTGGGGTTTATAAAAATACATTAGAGAGGTAGAACTCAGATATAGATACAGTATACATAAACTTTATTTAATGATCTGTTAATGTTGTTATTTTCAAGATTATAGCAACATCGATGGCGGATTAAATCTACCACCTAATAAAATTTAAATGGTCCAATCTAAAAAGGATTGAATCCTATCAGCTTTAGTAATGTACTCTTAATCAGCAAGGTGTGACAACATGCTAAGTATAATGTGTACATAATGACAAATAAATTATGTTTTAATTTATAACCTTTATCCATGAATAATCAATGTTATAGTAATTTGAATAGTCATGAAAGATCAGTCATCATATAAGTACACCATGAAAACTTGATAAATGCAACAAAACAACCTTCAAGAACTTCTTGAAATGCTAATATCTTATTTAAAGAGAACAATTTTACAGAAGAGTAAATTCCCAGTATCTTTCTATTATTTAAATAGAATATAATTAAAAATAACAGACTGAATTATAATTTTGACATTAATTAATAGAATTAGTTACAATAAATAAGTGTTAACTTATGTAGAACTTTCTAATTTTATAAGCTTGCTTAATAGTTTACAGTAGATACTGTATTTATTATTTAATAGGTTTTATTTCAACCAAAGGTTAGTGAATTATTTTTTTTTTTTTTATCTGCGATTTAACATGTCATGTCGACCCTTTCTATAGCTTTTAAATCGTGTTTAATTATAGTCCAACTAATAGAATTTGTTAGTAATGACCCCTCGTTATTCCCCAATAGGTCAACTTATGCCATTTATACAAAGATTAAAAATTTCTTCTTTTATACAAAACATTAGCCGTTGTATCTACTATGTCTTGAGATATTCTAAAGAAAAACTACTTCACTACCTAACTAGTTTGGTTTTTGTGTTGAGACTCATTATTAAGAAATCTTAAGAACCACTATCAGCTATAGACAGGCTGATGGGAAAAGATAAGGTCCCCCAATGTTATTATCTAATTCTGTATATGATTTCCTCATTTTGAGTATTTCCTAAGATTCTTTAAATCAAGAATTATTGCATTCTAGCACAGACTAGGGAACAAAAGAGAAAGTCACTTTTGTTCCTTAGTCTGTGATTCTAGTAAGATATCTGCAGTGTTATGCTCAAAATGTCTGTTTACATTTTTAATTGAAAATTACTGTTTAAAGTAGTTGTATGTTATTTTTTTTTAATATTACAAATAGTAAAACTGTTCCCGTTAGTACTAAAAATATATTTTTTATTCTCATATTTAGAAGTAAATTAAAAAATTTCATTGAGTCCAATTCTAATAATTTGGGGTTGTTGATGTATGAATAATTTGTATGGAAAATAAAACACTCAATGAATGAGTTTGATTTATTTTCTACAGGAAAGATGGTTGGTTTGGATCAGCAGGACTAACACAACAAAAATTACAGAATATTTTCAAGATTCAAATATATTAATAGGATTACAATAAGATGCAATAGTAATTGTTAAAACAAACAAGTTGAACAAACATTTTTGCTTTAATACATCATACATAATAATGCATAATCAATTATGACATCTAAATAATTTACATACTAGTGTGCTTGTAATGTTAATTTATTCAAAGTAAAAAAAAACTAACAATTTATACAAGTTGTTTAATGTTATTTATCTCAGTATAACTTTAAATGTATTCATACGATTTTTTACATAAATAGCCGAAGAATATTCTTCTTACTATTTAAGAAAGTAATGTTCAGTGTATGGAAATAGAGTAGTATTCGAGGAATAACAAACAGATGGGAACATGCCAACTTTCATTTGAGTACCATGGCCTGAGAGAGAGTGTGTGAGGGAGAGGGAGAGGAGAGAGAGAGAGGAAAGAGAGAGCAATAGGAACCAGTTGACAGTGGACAGTTAGTCAGTGTGGACGCAGTATTGTGTTGTGGACAGGTGTACGAGTCAGTGTTCCATGTCCTAGACAGGCACAGACATGTCGCCACTACTGGTGACTGTGTGTCTGTTTACTTTTCATTTCACTGTTGTTTTGTGTGCCTCTTCTATTGTTTTCCCTGATGAAGAAATCGATCAAAGCCCTTCAAACATTAGTGAAAAACTTATAGAGTGTCTCACAGATGAGTTTAAAATTGAATTTAACGGAGAATGTCGCTCATTATTAAAACCCGACTCAAATGTTTGTCCAGAGGGACAGTGGATAGTTTTGGATCTCTCAGCTGCGTCTTTACCTAACCCAGTGATAAGGGGGAAATGTGCGCTACAGAAATGTCCCTCGCAGATGCATTACTTTTTGAGCCGACAAAGGTGCATCCATGAAAACCAAAGTTCGTCTGTTTGCCCAGTAGGTAATGTTGCAGACACAGACTTTTTTGGTGATGGGTTTTGTAGCTGTATCAAGTCACCTGTTCACATCAAAGATGAAAAATCGGGAAAATGTTATCAAGCGTACAAAAGAGGACCGTGTCCTAAAGGACAAGTGTGGGTTGTGGGGGGTTGCCGGTTAGATAACTGCACGACGACTCGGACTCGCTTTCCAAATAAAACAATCGTTACGTGGAGTGACGGCAAGTGCTACGCTGTGAACGAACAAGGTCCATGCAAGGATGGTTATGATGTTAGCATCAACGTTCACACTCAGACTCCTGAATGTGTGGATCGACTTACATCCCTGACTCTTGTGGATCCTCCGTGCTCAGGCGCTAGTCACTCAGGACAATGCACCAAGCCTGTCAGTTCACCACAGTCTATCTTCTACTCCCAAGTGGCGTCGCAGGTCCACAAAAAACGGCCCTGACTATAGTGTGACTTCAGTTATATGGTGATTTAAAAGTGAAAAATCTCATCTCATAAACTGATACAGTATTTTACAGTGGGAGTAAAACTATATGTGAATTGATTTTTTTATTTATTTGACACTATATGTTTCAATACTAATAATCTACAGGTTTTTTTTTATTTGAATGATATTACCTAGAAAACAAAACTAAATTTAGTTTTAAATCATTAAAAATATTAAATGATCTATTAAAAAGTATTATGTTGTATCTTGTTCTTTCAAATATTTGCTATTTCTATTTGAGAAACCTTTGCTCATGTTTAGGACGTAAAGATTTACAAATTCAGTCCAACCCTTTAAGGAGTAAAATCTGTAAACCTTTATAGACTACTAATCTTTACTCTCATAAGGACTTGAATAAGCTTAGACTTCAAAGTACAGATTTTCAAAGAAAAACTGTTTGTTTGGATTTATAGAATGACCTAACAACATACCTTACCTCCTGCACCTAGGCCTATACCTTTTTTTAAAATAAAGTAATTTTAGTAAACATTTAAAATGTTTTGTAAGCTTCTAAAAGTTCCTAATCACTTTTACTACCCTACAAATAGAAAGTTTTATATCTCAAGTTCATATAAAAATACTGAACCCAGGAAGTAACACTACTGTATTAGTAAGGTAGTGTTTTTCTTTTAGTTTAATATTACAATTTTTAAGAGTAGTAGTTTTATAGGAAAAAGTGCAAATGATAAAAAAATTCACTATCCATGTTTACAATTTTTGGCCTAAATTCAATACTAAACAGTTATTCTTACATCAATCTGTTACAGGTATATTGTTATGATATTTTTCAAACTGTTAATTTTTAAGCATTCACAATGTTTTCAAAGCTTGTAGTTAACCATTTGGAGTAAGTGGCTTTTCATGCTTAGAAACCTAGACACAAAACAAATCCTGATAGTGTTTGCCTACTGGATAGACCCTGTGGTACTGTAAAATTAGGCTTTACTGTTCAGTATTTTATATTGAATTCAGTGTTCTGTCCTATGAACCTTTAAACTTCCTTAACATAAGTATATAGAATAAATACAACTATTGGAATTTTAGGAAATTTTAATTTGAAAAAGTAGTTTTTCAAAAGGTTTGTTGGTAACAGGAAGAAAGTTAAACAAATTCTGTTCCCATTTCAGCTGTTAAATATTTTACTTTAGTTTGATTTTCAATTAAATAAAGATACTACATAATCCAAGATACTACATAATGGTCGTGAAATTTCTAATGCAAAGGAAAGATATTCATATTTATTTTTAAATAATGACCCTTATTATAATTTTTTTACTGACACATCTCATAAGATTCATAAATTACTAAAACTATATTTTAAAAAATTTACAAATAAATATGAAAAATACGTACAGGATGTCCGGTCATAAGTGTTAAATAAATTTATTTGTCAAACTACATCATAATGGTGATTGAATGACGCCTATTTGAGGTCCCCAACCCAAACGCTAAGGGAATAAAAGATAAATTAAAATTTTTTACAAATAGTGGTAGTTTTTATGAAAAAAAACTTATATTATATATAATATTTGATATGATAATATTTTACGCTTTCATCGGAACTCCGCAGCATAGAAATAAGGGTTTTAATAGTTATTAAGTTTTTATCTTCATTAATAGTTTTAACTTTTACAGTGAATCTTAAGTAGAGTCTCATTCAATACCCCAATGTTTATGAATTATTCTTATTGTAAATCTTGTGAAAATTTCAAAAATGACCTTTATTTTAACAAAACATGTCCTTCTAACATAGTAATATAAGTTTTTTAACATAGTAATATTGGTTTACCTTGTGGTTGCCAGGTTCTTGAAGATTGTAGATTTCTATGCTCAATGTACATTTTGCCACAAGTGTGGCATCTTCAGGAGCAAAGTTTGTTATCACATCACTTAAAACACAAACACTATTTTACTATTTACATTATCGGATGGTGGCCGATTTGCGGCGCGGTCGCAGGAATCCGGGCGTGCAAGCGTGTACGCGGACTGGAGTCACTACATTCCGCTCTTGTGGCAAAATGTACATTGAGCATAGAAATCTACAATCTTCAAGAACCTGGGAACCATAAGGTAAACTATTGTAACTAATCATTGGTTCTGGAAACTGGGAATAGCACACAAATATTTTTCTGGTCTTCTATCTGTACAAGAGATTAAAGATATATAAGAATTCCTTGATTGAGTAAACAGGTTGTTCCACTAGCCAGTTTCACAGTCCCTGTTTAGTGTGTTTCCTCTCATAGTCTTGAGGTCTTGGGGCAGTGCATTGATGTACTTGCGGCCAATATAAGGATGGTTTCTTACTCAACTGCGTTATATGGTGTGCAGTACAGGAAGGCTGAAATCTGTTGCTCTTCAGGTATGGTATGGGTGAAAATGTATTACTGGGAAGGTCCAGCTGAGAACAACTGCACTGATGTAAAGTGCTATGATGGTTGGGGGGGGGGGGCGTTTAAAAGGCTTTTCTGCAGCTATCTGAGGGGTCAAGGTCTATGAGAGCCATAATGTCTTTCTTCAGAAGCACCAGGATTTTGTTAAGGTTTGTTTTCAGATGTCCCTACCCATGATATCAACCCATACCTGAGATGGGACTCCAGTAAAGTGAAATATGCTGCATTAGCTGCTTGAATGCCTGCAGTCCATTTTATCCTTTTCACCACAAGGATCCCGGATTTAAAAGCTGCTTTGTGAAGTGATATGGTCTGTCCAGGAGAGATCAGCATCAATAGTAACACCCAGGAGATTAAACTTTTTTCAACTTCCATGAACTTTAAATATCAGGGGGTTTCAGGTATATGCTCAAGTCTTCTGCTATAATTTACCTGTATTATCTGAGAAGGGTTTAATAACCAAGTATTGTTTTAGGCAATATTGTAGAACTGTGTCTGTAGATAATAGAATATCTTAATATAGTTCTTGTGCTGTGTCATTTATAAACAGTAATGTTGTGTAATCTGCGTTTTGCGTACATAATAGTTTTGATGTTGTTGTGATTTATAAAACCAGGAAAGTCATTAGTAACTGCATCTGACCATCTTAGTCTTATTCTACCTCATTTTACAAAGTCGTGATATTTAAGCTTTTAACGAATTTCCCATATAGAGAATAAGCTATTACCGTAGGTCTCATGGTTAGGACTGGAACAAGGACCGATTTACTTAGTATTACCGTAAAAAGAAACTAAAAACACATTTTTGTTAACATGAACATTTTTCCTGTGACCCCAAAATGGGGTATTTTGGAGGCAACTCAAAATTTTAAAGTTAAAGCCCCATCAAGTGACACCTAATTTTGATGGCCCGCTGATGATTTTGCAATCCTGGTTGTTTGGGAAGTTCCACGGAACCATTACTGATTTTATGAACAGAACTTTAAGAGTGGTCGACCAATGGTGTCTTGAAGTTGGGCTCTCTATCAATCCCGGAAAAGTTGTAATGGTACCCTTCACAAGAAGGAGAAAACTGGAAGGAATCAGCCTCCTAATACTGCAGGGTACTGAAATTGAGCTGTAGGATCAGGTAAAGTATCTTGGAGTAATTTTGGATAGATCTCTTCATTGGGGACGCCACTTTCAAAGACTCATTGACCGTGGCAAGTGGTCCCTAATGGCATGCAGGCAACGTATCTGTTGTTCGACCTGCCATGACATATGGCTCGCTTGCGTGGTGGCCTAAGATGGAATCTACAGCTGCAGTTAAAGCTATAGCAGGAGTAAAGAGACTTGCTGGCCTTATAATAACTGGGGCAGCAAGTAGTTGTCCCGGAGCAGCCCTTGATTGTCTGCTTGATATGCTACCCATTGACTTTTTTAATAATGTGGAAGCAAGAATCACATCACTACACCTAAGATGCAAAAACTTATAAAACACCACCGGGAACAACAAAGGGCACTCTAAAATTGTTCAGGTAGTACATAGCGATGTGTTTTACTTGCCTTTAGACCATATGTTCAAAAAAATACTCCTTTGGTAAGCCTTTCAAAGTACTATTACCAGATAGGGAGGAATGGCTTGGCAGAAAGAGGCCTATCCCCGCAGGTGATTTACAATGCTATTCCGATGGTTCTACGATTAAACAAGGGGGCACCGGTGCAGGTATGCTTTGGAAAAGAGAGGTCATTGGCGTTTTGCAAGCGGAGGTCACTGCCATCTTGGTTTGTGCCAGAGAAAATCTTAACAAAGAGATTAGTGACAAAACAATTAATATCTACACTAATAGTCAAGCTACCTTAAAAGCAACTACTCATACAAATTCAACTCAAGGCTCGTGTGGGATTGTCTTGCTTCTGTGTCTGAATTGGGTAGGAGTAATGATCTTACGCTTTGCTGGGTGCCTGGACACTCAGACATTGAAGGAAATGAAGCCATGGACAGATTGGCAAATGCTGCCTCAGCGGCAACAATGATTGGTCCACAACCCTTCTGTGGTATATCACGAAAAAGTGTGTCACCTCTATTGTGTCACCAACGAAATGCACAGAAAATGTTGGGTTTAAACGCCCCTTCTTGGGGTCAGCAAGCTTACTCTGTATACACCTTCTAAACAGGTTGCCTCTGACTTTTTGATGCTAGACAGACGAAGAATTGAATCAAGAGTAGAGCTGATAACTGGCCATGGGCGATTCAGGAAACATTTACAACGGATGGGCCTGTTTGATCGCGAACCGATCTGTAGGCATTTTGGTAGGTCAGAGGAGACAGACGATCACCTGCTCTTTGATTGTGAAAAGCTCTCTGATGCTAGATGTATTACTCTTGGCAATTTGGTAAGAAGTAGACACCTTCCTGAGGAGGAATTAATTGTAAGACTACAGGCTTTCATTGGATGCCTGAATTTGTAGGGTCTATCAATAAAACAACCATCTGGGGTGCGCAGTAATTCAACTTTTCAGATAAAGTGCTTCATGGACTCCGCCTGCCCTGGTTAAGATAAGGCCATCAGTTAAAAAGAATATCGGTGAAAACCAGAGATCTTTATCTCAACTCAGTACAAAATGGCAGCAGTTTTTAATCTTCAGACATTACATTTAACATTTTTGAGCTGTCCCAATATGCTTCATTTTGGGGTTTCCAGGGGAAATTGTGACAAAATGCCGCCATTTTGTATAGAGTTGAGATAGGGACCTCTACTAATGGCCTTCAAAATTAGCTGTCACTTGATGAGGCTTTATATTTTAAAAAATTGAGCTGCCCCCAAAATACCCCATTTTGAGTAATTTAAAAAACTAAATTTTAAATGGCCGCCATTTTGTTTTATGAATTTAGAAAATTTTCTTAATTTTTGTAGCTTTGACTAGTGGTCATAAACGTTTGTGCAAAGTTTCAATTTCGTATCTTTTACCACTATTTAGAAAACAATTAATAAGTGAAAAAAACAAAATTAAATGTTCAGACTGTGATAAATCCTACATTGGCCAAACAAGTTGTAGCTTTAAGAAAAGGTTCCAGGAACATATACAAGCGTTAAAATCAGGTAACAAAACGACAATGAAATCAAATTTTGCAGAGCACCTAATCGAAACTTGACATGAATATAAAAAATATAAATGAAAATTTAGAAATTCTAGAATATGAAAGTATTAAAGCAAAATTAAATGTCAAAGAAGATTTTCATATATACACAAATTACAAAAGATTTCCTCAAAATTTACTGAATACCATGAACATCAACAAAATAAATCCGATATTTGAAAAGATCCTACAGTTGCAATAAAACAGAAATATTATATAATATACAAAAAATTAAACAAAGAATAAATCAAGATCCTCTAAAATCTAAGTTAGCTCAACATATGACTATATTTATTCCTTTCATTATTTTTGTTATTGTATTTGTATATAATGTAAATATGACTATGACCTAAGTGTTGAAACATTTTGTTTGTTAATTAAAATGAATTTAAAAGGGTACTAATGTTTTTACAATGTTTTTGATTATTTATATAGTAGTAGCCATAATCACAGCCATACTTATTATATATATATATATATACAGGGTGTTTCAGTAAAGCGTAGCGGGCTATGCAGTTTCAGATTCTACATGCAAAAATAAGTTGAAAATGTAGGATAACTTTTTTTTAATTTCGGCTTAGTTTTGCCGTAATCCGCCAGTTTGTATTTTTTTGAAAATAATTAATAACTCAAAAACTCTTGAAGATATTCTTATGAAACTTTGTATAAACTTTTAGACTACAGGTATAAACATTCTCTGAAAATATCTTTGATCAGGCTCATAAAATTTCGAAATGGCGGCCATTTAGTAGTAGAAGTAAAATTCAATTAAAAACAGCCATTAAAACAAAATTTTAAATGGCCGCCATATTTAAATTTGATGAGCCTGATCAAAGATATTTCCGAGAATGTTTATACCTGTAGCCTAAAAGTTTATACAAAGTTTCATAAAAATATCTCCAAGAGTTTTTGAGTTATTATTTTCAAAAGAATACAAAATGGCTGAATACGGCTTAACTAACTGAAATCGAAAAAAAGTTATTCTATATTTTCGACTTATTTTCGCATGTAGAATCTGAATCTGCATAGCCCGCTACGCTTTACCGAAACACCCAGTATATATTAATTAATTGAAGGTTACAACCAAATTATTTTTTTTTATGGAGATTGCCATAGCGTTATATTTTATCAAACATATTTCACTGCCACTTGCAAACCATACCTAATGTTATTTGTTAAAAACTTGAATAGATTTGTCTAGTAAAAAAGTATAAATGTCATGTCGTTTTTCATCAAAATGTCATTAATCATACTTACTCCAAATCATACTTATGTTATTAATTTACTTACTAAATATATAAATAAGTTTATTTATTAGGATTAATTTTTTCCTAGGTTTACAACAAGTTAAAATGTAGAAAATCGTTAAGACATTTTAATTGTAGGATTATAAACATGATATCTAAAAATTGATAGAGATGAATAACTGTTTGGTAGTCTTCACAATGGACTTTGTGTGCGGCAATACATAAAATAGCTAAACATTATGTATACAAATATTATTCAAAACTTGGTAACAACAAATTGATAAGCAGCAGATAGAGAAAAGGTACAATACACTTGTGCCTAATTGATGATAAGTAAAAATAGTAAATAATTACAGAGGTACTAAACGCAACAATCAAAATAAATTAATTGATTGTGAGACCAGACAGACAGCTTGACTAAGGTCAAGGAGTGGAAAACATTGTGTAATGGAAAAGTTGGCATGAGGTTAAGGCAGTGGTGGTGAGGGGGAGGGGAGGAGGGGAGGTAACCAGTTGTCAGTGTTGTCAGTTGTCAGTTGGGCAGCACAGTGAGTGGAGTGGACAGTGATGTGAGTGGACAAAGGTCAGTACATGTGGTAGCCTACAGAAGTCATGTCACCACTAGTGGTGACTGTTACTTGGATAACATACACACTGTCACTAGTCCAGTGTGTTCCATCCTTCATAGAAAACGATTCTATTGTATTCCCAGAGGTGGACAATGCTACAGCCCCTTCAGATATCAGTGCCAAACTCAAAGAGTGTTTGAAGGATTACATTTTTAAAATAGAGTTTAACGGTGAGTGCCATTCTGTATTGACGACGGATAAGACAGTTTGTGCTCATGGTCAATGGTTGGTTCTGGATTTTAACTCGGCTTCATTACCGAACCCCGTGATCCGAGGGAAGTGTGCGGTGAGAAGATGCCCTCCGCAGTACCACTTCTGGGTGCACCAACTTGCGTGTGTTCACAACAACCAGAGTAGTTTATACTGTCCCTTCGGGAGTGTTCTTGACACAGACTATTTTGGAGACGGGTTTTGTAACTGTATAAAGTCACCAGTGCACGTCAGAGAGAGAAATACAGACCTTTGTTACCCAGTATTTAAGCGCGGGCCGTGTCCCCAGGATAGAGTTTGGGTTAAAGGTGGTTGTCTCTTGGACAACTGCACGATCGCCAGAGCCCGCTATCCACAAAAAACTATCTTATCGTGGAGTGACGGAAAGTGTTACGCTGTGAATGAACGAGGGCCATGCAAGGGAGCTACGGAAGTGCTGCGCATCAACCCGTATACGGCGAGGCCAGAATGTGAAGACCCTAAAGCTCCCCTACACCTTGTAGACGCACCCTGTACTGGAACTGATCACTCAGGAAAATGTACTAAAGCCGTCAGCACACCACAGAACGCTTTCTACTCTCAAGTCGCTGAGCAGGCTAGTAAAAAAAAGACTAGAAACGTCAGTCCAAAGTGATTTGATAGTTACGGTACTGTAAATATTAGGGTCTGTATAAACTAATTAATTTGTAATAAAATCTAAACCTGATACAATTATTTGCCAGGTTTCTATGTTTACCTTCTTGATGAGTTGTGCTCCTTAAACTTAAAAGAAAATAGGAAATGTGACTCATTTAGAAATATACTGACTAATAATGTTTCTCTATTTTTGTAAATAAACCTTGGTAAAGACAAAGGACAAGGGATTTTAGAAAATATCATAAACTATTGAATACCAAAAACAATCAAATAACCATACATTGAATTTAAATATATTTTTTTATAATTTTCTAAAACATAAAACACATGTTTGATTTCCATAATTCTTAACTATTATTTAATATCATCCAGAAGTAAATTATTGCAGTAAAATATGTACAGTATAAATTTAAAATGAAATGTTTTGTATAATCCTGATTTAATTAACAAAATAAGAAAACTGAGGAGATTGTAAGCCTATGTTACTGTGCACTATATTAACTTATATTACAAACTTGTCAACATTTAAAAACTATAAATATATGAATAGTTCAGCTAAACTGATTGATATAATTGAAATGCTTCCATTTCATTGAAAAATGATTTATCAAGTCAAACAAATTCAATATATTTTGCATAAGCATATTAAAATATTTAAAGTATATTCACAGGTAAAATTACTTTTTTACTAAAAACTGCTACAAATAATAAGACAAAATGCAATATTTATTTGTTTTGTTATTAGTCAATCAGTAAGATATGTTTATCATGAACTGTGACCCAAGCTAAGGTTAATATGAGCCAATCTAGGTCAACAGGCAAAGTCCTTCCAAGGCTAATACTACAGCGTTTTCTATATATATCCGTTGGAAATTTGCCTTTCACTGAGGTAGGGGACATGAGGAAGTAGCCCATAGTTAGTGATAGTCAAGTATTTTAAACAGTTTCCATATCCAGAGTCTGGGCCATTCTCTTTCAAAACCAAAAATTCCAATGGCGTAGATAGACATACACAACAAACATTTTAAAATACAGGATCATGTCTTTATCGTGATGGATCATTAAGTATTTAATATTCAATGCAACTTGCCACACCATTTCCTTTAATCTTAAACTCAACAACAAATTTAATAACTGTTTCTCAATATACTAAAAATTTATTTTGAGATGAATTAAACAATTTAAGAACATTATAAGATTAATGATATTGTCAAGATATTATTTTTAAATCAATTAATTTTCAACACCTTGTTTATGATTTATTTCTGAGTATAACGTATATTTGCTAGTCAAAGATTTACAAAAAAAATTCCCAGCCATTGTAAACAAAAGACATTTAGTGTGTTTTGTCTGTGTTATTACATTATTACTAAATCAATAAACATTATTGAATTCATGCACAAATTTGATCAATTATGTATGAGCATTCAAATAGTACAACTTTCTTATTGGCTAATTTCCTATGAAAGATGAAAATGTTACCACAACCAAAATCGAATGCAAAAGGTCAACACTTTTGTATTAAGTTTATTTTCAAGAATATTGTTTGCAATTTTATTGAGCATGAAAATGCAGATAACTTAATGTCATTCATTATAATTTTAGGTATAATGGTTACCGGTACCAATACACCTTCAAAGTGCTAACCATATTATATTATTTTCCATGTTATCCTTACGAAGAATAAACTGATTATGTAGATTGCATGTTTACATGTATCTGTCAAATTTGAATTTTCAATTTTTTTTCTGTACCGGTAGGCATTTTTATCCAAACAAAAACACATCTGCATGTTCCTTGTAGCAGAAAATCCAAGTACGCAAAGAAAATAATGTTATTCATATCATAATATGAATGACAGAGTGGGTCTAAGTGAAAATTTCCTTTCATTATGAACCGGTTTAGTTAAACATTCAAAAACCCTACTGGAAATTCCCTTAATATGGTTTGCTGTGTCAGGAATATTTTAGTAATAAATTCATACTCAGGCTCTATTGTCCTTGCTCGTCAACCTTCTTGGATAACGATCTACGTCCAGTATTTTACAGCTAGTAATTATATTCATTATTCATTTGGCAGCCAAGCTACTTCAGATAATTACCCTTCCATGAATCATAGTACTTTTACTGGACTTAACTTCCTTTCTGGGAAACTCTTTAAATTCCTTGTGTTTACTAATAGCATTTTATGAACAGTGGGGATGGTTGCTTCACACAATTTCATAAGCAAGAGTGAATTATTAAATAACTAATAATGCCCTAGAAAAGTCAGTACTTTATGTTTATATTTAATTTTTTATGAAGAACTTTTGCCTTACTTTAGCAGAGTTTAGCCTATACTTTGGTTATGTGCAAAAGTTTAACAAATACAATAAAATCATATAAACTTGGAAATTTTTAAAACTAATTTTGAATAAGTTTAAATATAAATTATTAACTAAATTATGAGCATGTTTAAATTATACGTTTTTTAACCATGTTATGAAAAGTATAGTGTGTGTTTTAATCCTCTTAAATTGTTGAAGCTGACTTGGTTCCCCCAAAGTAAGGTTAAAAAAATATTTTTACTGTGTGAAAATGAGACTGTCTAAAAATAGCCTCTTTGTAAATGTAACTTTTTTACTATTATTGGTTAAAAAATAAAGCAATAAAAAATAAATTAATACAAACGTTTTACATCACAATAAGCTCAAATGGCCTATACTTGAAATTAATGAAAGGAGGATCTATGAGCCTATTGTATTTTAGGAAGCAATACACAGGTAGATTTCAAGCAGTGATAACGTAATAACAAGGATAAGTAAATGCCAAACCAGACAGTCATTATCTAGGATCATAGGTCAGTTCAAAACAATGAAGACAACTGAATTGAAATGAGATCACATGCGCATTGATCGTTACATTAACATGTCTGCTATAGTTCAACTACCCCAGTAAAAGTGAACTTGATTATTCCAGATAGGTTCTACAAACCAATCCAACAAATAAACAAAGCATCACACTTTGCTATTTCACCTTAAAACATGCTTGTGTAAACAGTTTAAAACCTATTATTGAAAAATCCAAATTGTACACAATTTAAATGTTTGTGATAAATGTTTATTTAATTTGAATCAGAATGTTTTTCCTTGAAAAGTAATTTTACAAATCTGGACTTCTAGAAGGGAGAAACTGTATAAATAGCTTTGCAGATTTACAAGTTTGGGTTATGGCTGTGTGACAAGACTTGGGAAATGTGACAATATAACTTATTGGTTTGTATTCCTGTCTGACGAGTAAATTAAATTTTGATGTACAAAAACAAGGAAATATCTCCTCACCTGCAGAACCTATCCTTTTGTTGTTTACTAGACAAGTAGACAATTTTGGTTCAAAAATATTCTGTTTACAACCAAAGCTAATAAAATAATTGGTGGCAAACTTTTCAGAAGTTTGATGGAAATATTTTGAAAGGCTCAAAACAAGCCCTTTAGCTATCATTAATTAAGAAAACACAAAGTTGAACTCCTCCAGGCTATTTCAGTTTAATTGCATATTAAAGAATTATTAGTGAACTTTATATAAAAGTATCTTATCACAAGCGAAGATAAAACTAAAACCATATAACAATATCAATATTATTATTTTTTATACACTGTGTTTTCTAAGTATAAAGTCAAACTCCAGGAACTGGCTTTATGGGTCAAATAAAATTAAAATTTTGAATAAAAATTTCTCAAAAATTGCCTTGTTAGCGAGATATCCGCCATTTTGATCCACAGTAGTCAAACGTTATACCTCTAAAACTATAAAAGATATCATTATGCAATTTGGTAAGTGTTTTAAAATATCAATACATAACTTGTAAAAAAATAATCATTCTACAATTTTATGTTGTTTCAAAATGACAGCCATTTTAATTTTTGTAGCTTAAATTACTAAGAAATCGCAGCCATTTTGAAAAAAATAAATTTTATTGCATGTTTTTTTTTACCAATACTTCATTCAAAAATATGGACCCAACTTCATGTCTTTGTATCTCAAAAAGGTATAAATCGGGCAGAATTATGTATGAATGAACTTTACACCATTCAAAAGAGGAAATTTCAAAATTTTTTACCATAGTTTCCTAAACAGCCGAACAAGTTATCGCAACAATGGGCAGCCGTTTTGTTTTACCATCAGTTGTTAGTAAGATGGCTATGCTATGCAGCATAAGATTTTCTGAGTGATAGAGTTTACAAATACAGAGTCTTCTATTACAGTGCTGCAAACTTTTCACCTCGGATTCGGTATTGAACCACCTACTAGAAAAAGCATAATTCGTTGGTTTAGGCAATTTCAGAAATTGCAGCTGTGCATTCAGTGATAGAAGAGATGATGTCTTGTTTATGGGAGAAATATTTGGCTATCGCTTAGATGTTTGCCTTGCGGCCCAGGGACACATTGAGCGTTTGTAATAGGTGTAAATAAAACTTTGAAATTTTCTCTTTCTGTGTAAAACAAATTAAAACTAGAAATTAATTAAAACTAACTAAATAAGTGTAAAACTTATTTTTTCCGATTTATACTTTTTGAGATATAAACTCCCGAAAGTGGGCCCATATTTTTGAATAGCCCTGTATTTTAAAACACAAACCGAATCTCATTAAGATATTTTTAACACGTTCGCGGCGGCATCCGCGGAACCCTAATGCTATCCTGGTGGGTGCCATCGCTCCCAAGCTGCAATGCAGTACGAAATGATTTTATTTTTAAGCCAGGATTAGAGCTAGAAACTTGAAACCTCGCACAGCACTGCTCAATAGTATACTGTATTTTGTTGTGGTGTAGGTTGGTAGTAATTATATACTGGGGATTTCCCCGTAAAATCCCCGTCTGGCAATCTCAAAAATCTACTTTTTGTCCCGTCTTTTTCCTTCCATTTGGCAATACAATTCCAATGGGACCGGCTACGTTCCAAGCAGTGCTGCTATCTGTGGGTGTTTAGCGAACTACGTCGACTCTCGTTGTAAAGCAGGACATCCTCGCACGTTATTTGCTAATCGTCAGACCGAAATTGGAAAGCCAATCATACGCGGCAATCGGGTTTGTTCGGCGCTGAGGGCTGCGCCGCACTGGGGATACGCCCGCAATTTGACGTGCCGCCGTGAACGTGTTAATCATTTTATAGATGGCGGTGAGTATGAGTTTAAAAGCAAATACTATCAGAAATTATTTTTCCTTTCTTTTTAACTTATTTTGGTCGTGATTACTTCCACTCAGCTTTCTCTAAGGTAAAGAAATAATATTCAAATCAACAATATTATTCATTAAAAACACTTCAGCGAAACCGATATTATGCGTTTTATGTATGTAATATCTTCCTTCTTCTTCCCTTTAGAGAAAAAGGCCTTGAGAATTGAGATTTAAGACGGAATTATAAGTAACCAAATATACATCTTATGAATAGGAAATGCACTGAATACAATTGGCCAGCCAACCCCAACAACAAACTTAGAAACCAAAAATGGAATCAAGAACAGTAAAGTCCCATAAACTTGTCACCCGATAACCCAGCAGTTTAGATTGTTCAGCGACCATGTAAAGAATTGTTATGTAATCACATTGATAGGTATGTTGTACATTGCTTTTGTCATTTAGACTTTAAATTACTGTAATTAGTGATAATAAAAGAGAGTTATTTGAGTCACACTTCTCTGAAAACCAGAGTGCTAGCCAGTAAATATAAGTCTGCACCATTACCTTAAATTTGATGAGAAAAGGTAAGCACCATTTATTTTTCTATACAAGTATTTGGTTCCCATTCTATAATTCTGGTTCCCATTCGTCTCTCCACTATATCAATTTAAAATTTGGTTAAGTAGAATGACGGAAAAGGGACATTACAGAGAATACTCAGGTTGTAATAAGTATATAGATAAGCCCCAGCACAAAAACGTATAATTTGGTTGTCGCTTAACAGGGATAACCTATGGTAATTTCTTATCCCCATTAGTGGAAAGCAGCATTCAAACCTCCTCTTAAGTTGCTCTTCTGATTCTTCAATTTCTATTTTCTTCTTATGTAAAATATGTACTGTAATTGTAAGTATTTTATGATTGCATTTTTTTTTAGCTCTTGTCATCCCGTTTTTTAAAACGTTTCTTCTTTTGTCAGAATTTGGTTTTAATAGGGTCTATGCGTAAACGCTCTTGTTACTTCTTATTTGGTGGTACCCCCGATTCCATGGCACGTTTAAGTTTAGTTTGGATTTGGTTCACTATGATTTTACCTCAACTTATTTGTAACTTCACATAAATAACATACTTTTTGTTATGAAACCATGAAAAGTTTACTTTTGTTTTTTCATATCAATGCATGCTTAAAGCCTACTAGTGGTTTTGCTGTTTTCGTCAAATTTTGATGTGCTATATCTTGCATTTGACATACTTGTCAAATACTTGATTATGTATCAATTTGAAGCCCATTTTATGCTGAATATTTTGGTTTTTAATTTGTCCTGATATCTTAAGTTAAATATCTGATAAAAAAAGTTATGTAACATCTAGTATCAACGATTTTTGTCAAAAACTCGGGTTTCGCACAAACAAAGATGGCCACCAAAACAAATTCTGAGGGAATAATTATTTAATACTTGCGTGACATTTCTATTGATACAGTTAACATTTTATAAAAGTTTCATCAAAATCAATAATGTTGAGCAAACAAATAGTAACCATAACAGTGCCTGTTTGACTTGAAATGGATTGACCCTGAAGGCAATTTCCGCACATTGGCTATATCTGTATTTAATTTTTAAGGATAATGCTCTCTCGCACAAATATGTGTTTTACGACTCCATAATTAGCTTTTTAATTACTACTGAATTGGGACAATTTCTTTTTATTGGTCCTCCTCCCCAAGTGTTATTAAACGTATGTAACTATAATTCATAGCACATTTTTTAATAATTCTGCAGCTAAAACTTAAAGGGTGAAATAATTTGCCAAAATATATGTTCAATTTTCTTTGGATTCCAGAAAAGTATGGGTCTGCGGATGTTTTGGGGCCCAGTACAATTATAAATGTAGCCTGTTTCAGGCCAGGCTCAAAATAAATAATATCAAATATGTGGTATTTACAAAAGATAATGATAATTGAAGAATCTGTTATAATAGCTAACATATTCTTCATGAACTCTTCGTAGACAAATCTTTGTAAATCAAACACTGTCAGAAGTAATTAAAAGTAGGTTAATTTTTGACAATTTAACTAAGGCTTAAGTTGATTTAACTAAAAAAAACTCAAGAATAAAAAACTAGTATGTTTACAAGCTATTCAGTAGATTTTTTGTATTCTGTATTTATCACAAATCCATCCTAACTTTCCGTAACCGAAGCACTAACGTTTAATCATCTTTTGCGTTCGTGGTCACGTCATGATAATTTACATGTCGCAAAGATTCAACCGAAAAACAAATAGAGTAGGTTAGCCCTTTGTTTATAGTCACAAAAACATTGATGACATTCTCCTTGATTGCAATATTAGAGCGTTATTGTTGCCCAAAAATCTAAAAAAAAACTGTTCAAATCCACACAAAGAAATTAGGAATAAAAGTTTTCTAAACTATTGGCATTTCAAATTTCTAGTTCAAAGCTAAAACAAGTCAATCACTTTAAACAGTAAATATTCTGAAGATATTTTAATGTACAGCCCTGCCCCTTCTTATCTGCTTGATACCATTCCGGAGCTCGGCAGACTGTTCAGTTACAAGTCACTATAAAGAAAAACATGTTTAATGTTTGGCCTCGTCCCGCGACCCACAGTTTAAGAACTGCCGTCTTAAACAACAAAATTAATTTGTTTTATCTATTCCTATACTCTCATTAGACCTATGTAGTGTTTGATCACATGGATGGAGAACCAGTCTGTAGGAGAGAGGAAACAGCTGATCACCTTTGATTGTGAAGAGCTCTCTGAGGCTAGGACAGCTCTTGGCAATTTGGTAAGAGAACCTTCCCGAGAAGGATCTGATTGGCATTCATCAGATGCTTGAATCTGTAGGGTCTATCAATAAAACAACTTCCTGGGGTGCGCAACAATTTGACTATTCAGATGAAGTGCTTTATGGTTTTAGCATGCTCCTGCAAGATGAAGATAAGATTGCATTTCTTGTATGGTTCCCAGAAGAAACAGCCATGAAAACCGACAACTGACTTTGAAATCCAACCCATCCTTAGTAATATATTTTTCCCAACAACCTAGGTCTTCTGAAACCTTCCGGTCAATAGGCCTTACAGTCCACAAACGCTGAGTTTGAAGGACTGTACTGCAAACAAAATAAGGAAGAAGTTACTTACATTTTTAACATCAGTGAAGATCCAACCACAGAAACTGAGCTGAGAGCCATGGCTGCTGATGCCATCCACGGCTGAAACAATAAACAACAATTTGGAACATTTGACTAAGGTGAAATCTTCGTATTTAATTTTCTTATGCAAAAATCTAAAAATGTAACAATTTTGCCCTTTCAGTCTAGTAATATATTTATGTAAACAACTGAGGATTGTGTTAGACATGTACTGTAGCCTGGGTGACAAGCATCAAGAATCAAGAAGTTTATTGGCCATTAAATACAATATACAAGAATACATTAGTGTACAATAGGTTTTGTCAAAAGGCTTTGATACAAAAAATCTTAAATTTCTAGTCTAAGTCTGAAATGTACATTTATGGTATTCATCAATTCTGTAAAATGCTTTATGTTTTAGCCAGTTTGAAATAGTTTCTTTAAATTTTACAAGAGGTATATTTAGGAATTGCTGGTAACTGTGACTTCTAAATGATTTGTGTAGGTGTATACAAGATGTTGTATAGATGTAATGCAGATGTAATCAAGGTGTTACAAGATTATGTTTGTTTCTCGTGCTGTGTTCATGTTGATTGCATTGTTCACTAAAATTAACAACATTTTCACAGTTTTCATTTCAACTTTTTTAAATGAGAATTTATCTGAGTTTGTGCAAAGACCCCCTGCAAACTTGAAATTACTAAGTAGTTTATAATAGTCTGGCAAATTAGAGTTCTGATTGTGAGTCACACTTGTTCATACATTGACAAAAAATCATTAAAGGTGTCAGGCGAAAGACAAATTTCAGTTGGTACTTTGCTCTACTTTGCTCTGGTACTTTGCATTTGTTTGTTGATTTATTAACTAATTTGTTGTTTGCAGAAATTCTTGCTTCATTCATATCTTTTGTGTAAACTTTCTTGGCATTTTTAAAGTTAATTTTATCATTAACAGTTTTACTATTAGACAGTCCAAACACTAAGACATTAGAGCATTTGGTTCACTGGTATTGTGGTCTGACTTTGATGGCCAGGACTAAGTGGTCTACATTTAGTGGTTTAAGGTGTTTTGTAAGGCAGGAGACACTGAAGGCAGATATGGCTGAAGGATGGAATGAGTTTGGCTGGACTGAAAATATCAGGCTGGCACACCTCGATAGTACCTTAAATATGATGGTAATTTGATGTGATAAGAAGGGTTCAAACTTAGAATTTGGCTAGTTAGAATCTTTCATTGCTGCATACATGTTTTTACTTGAAAAACCCCCTATTAGCCTACCTCAAAAATACTTTATAGAAAAACATAAAGACAGGTTGGTGTAGTATAACCAATCCATTCAGAAAACTTGGTAAAACTATTTGAAATATGGTACAATATTGGTATTGAGAATTGTTTTTTAGGTATTGGTATCGAGAATCAATAAATTTTGGTATCGACACATCACTAATTTCATCAAATATTTTTAACACTTCTGCTACATTATATATTATTTTGATTAGAATGTGTTTGGTTATTTGAGTGTGTTTGTTTTTGTACAATTAAGTTTTATTTTCTAAACCCTTAAGTTTTGTATAAGCAACCTATACCAATGCAAAATTCTGTAAAATTGAAATAACTTATGGATATTTTTAGTTTTAAAAATAAAAAATTAAGTAGCTATCCTAAACATCATACAAATTTAAAATAAGGTACCGATGGTACCAGAACCAAGAACCGAGAATTGATTTTGGCTAGGAACCGGTACCGGTGAAAAAGTGGTACTGACCCATCACTATATTGAACATATATATTTTGTACTTATTTGTACATATATTTTGTACATATTTTTTACATATTTTGTACATATTGCACATATTTGTAAACTCCCTAACAATTACCAGAAGATAAGCTTCCAGTTGCAATCCTTTCAAATACAACAAAGAACTAAAATGGTACAAAAAGGACAAATTAAATCAAGCAACGGAGACAACTTAACCATTTTTAATCAATTGCAACTGTATATTGTACACATATATTATGTAGGATAAGTTTAATAATAGAACTAAATAAATTGGAATCCAACAATAATCAATGAAACAGGTATTTATAATTTATCATTTATGTGTCCGCACTATAAACAGGACTGGAATATAAAATATAAGATTCATACCTGAAGGAAGATGCCGAAATAGGTTAAGCAGCCTGCTGCTAAAGGGATGCCAACAATGTTGTACATGCTAGCAAATACGAAGTTGAGACGAATCCTCTGCACAGTCTTCTTTGAGAGGTCGAAGCATCCGATCACATCCAAGAGGTCATTCTGAAACATTACGTTTATTTTTAGGCTATGATTAATTTTTTCTCAACCTTCAAAAAGATTATCAAATAGACATTTCAACATAACGCTGTTTCCAATACAAGGGTTGCAGGGTTAAAGCAGTTATTTTTATCGCTAGGCCCAAAATAAAAAGAATAAGCTAGATTTGAGGACATCATCGAAAGGACAGTTAGAAAATAGTCAATCCGTGATGTAGTATACAACATTCAAGTCTAGTTTATTTTTTTATTTATTTAACGTCTCACATTACATCAATTCTCTTGACAGGTGGTTTGTCATACAAGTATAATACTACATAGATAAATCTACATAATAAAATACAAAAGAAATATAGCAATCAATACAAACTTATTGCAGAAGTAATATCTTTCAAATACACACATCTTCCAGACATTCTTCTAGTGAGTAAAATGTCCTCTCATAAAGAACATTTTGTAAAGATAATTTGAGTTTAGAGAATGAGGCAATGTTTTTAATCTCAGCGGGTAATTTGTTGTACATTTTTTGCCCCATATACTGAGGAGATAAATGGAAGATGTTAAGCTTTTTTGAACTGGTTATACAGGGTTAGTAAAAAGTGTGGAGACCCACTGTTATTTTTTTAACAGCCCATACTAGAAAAACCAAACTCGGCACACCTTTATGGTATGTTATGAAGTACTTTTTGGGCATAACCGCCACTTAGTGTACATCCACAAAATGGGGGATTTTGGGAGAAACTCAAAAATTTCAAATACAAAGACCCATCGAGTGACCCCTCATTTTGAAGGTCCTGGTAAAAGAAAACCCACAACGCAAACTAGAGGTCTATATCTCAATCCAGTAAAAAATAGTAGCCAATTGAAATTATCAGAAGTTAAATTTAACTTACAGTTTTCCAAGTCTGGAGACCCCCTGTAAATTTTTTAATGGCTCATACTAGGAAAACTAAACTCTACACACCTTTTTGGCATGTTATGAAGTACTTTTTAAGCCTAATATCCACTTGGTTCCCAAACCCAAAATGGGGGATTTTGGTGGAAACTCAAAAATTTTAAAAGTTAAGCCCCATCGAGTGACCCCTCATTTTGAAGGACCTGGTAAAAGAAAACTAACAACACAAACTAGAGGTTTCTATCTCAATCCAGTAAAAAATGGTAGCTGATTGAAATCTTTAGAAATCAGAAATACTTGCAATTTTAAATTCAATTGTCCGCCATATTTTACTGTGTTAAGATAGAAACCTCTAGTTTACGTTATTGGTTTTCTTTTATTATGACCTTCAAAATGAGGGGTCACTCGATCAGTCTTTCCATTTGAAATTTTTGAGTTTCCCCAAAATCCCCCATTTTGGGGATGTACACCAAGTGTCGGTTATGCCCAAAATGTACTTCATAACATGCTATAAAGGTGTGCCGAGTTTAGTTTTTCTAGTATGGGCCATTAAAAAATAACAGGGGGTCTCCACACTTTTTACTAACCCTGTATATAGGCCTAATATTTTTGAATCTTGTGTTATGTGGATGAGATTTTTGACAGTCCATCAATGTGCCAAAATCACTTTCAACCATTAATGCCTGTGTTCAATGTGTATTTAGCCTACATCATTGATGACACTTGCCGTTTGCAGTAAGGAATTGCGGCTGCATCTAAAACTTTTAAGGAACCCTAGATAAATTTGGTATTTGAACTTTTATTTGAATTATTTTTTCCAGAAAACATGATCCCGATAACTTGAAATCCTGATGATTTGGATGCGGGTCAACTGGAATATATAGTGTTTAAAAAAAGTAGGAAGTAGAATTACAAATAAAAGGTGTAACAGATTTGACAAGGTACATACCCTCATCAAAACAACGTCAGCAGTTTCCATCGCAACATCGGTGCCTGAGGATATTGCTATACCAACATCTGCTTGTACCAATGCTGGGGAGTCGTTGACCCCATCACCAACCATAGCCACACGGAAGCCTTTCTTCTGCAGACTTTGTATCTTGGCCACCTTGTGAGAAGGCAGTACTTCTGCAAACACCCGGTTTATGCCAACCTGTGCAAAAACATAAGTTTAAACAAGTAGTTAAAGATTATTATTTGGATTGGACAAAGTCAACTTCTTTGTAGTCAATAGGAATTGTTGTTCAAATACTAATCGTCCTTTCTTACAATCAACCGTATGTATTTGTATAATTCCCAGTATCTTCAGTGGCCCGGTCAAATAAAATATTTTTTAAACACTATAACAATAAAATACCATAATTAGTATACAAGTTAAATCATTATTTTGTAACAACCAACACCAAAATCATGAACATAATCATAATTTTAAATCTTTATGAATACAGTACACTCTCGATTATATGAGCCACGGTTATCCGTGCCCGCGGGATAGTCCAAGGTCTTTTTAAGCATAATATAAAATGTATATTTTGTATTTCCAGTCGGAAAGCAATAATTATGTTTTTAGGAACGTTTCCGTTGAAAGTAAAATATTAATAGTAATTAGTGGTTTCTTAAAATTGGTACTTTAAATAATGATTATAGGGATTATTTTGACGTAGAAATGATCGGCAATAACCTAGAAAATGAAAATCACACACAGTACTAGCATTGTACTAGTTTGGCTGCCAACCATTTTTGATTACCTGCTCGGGCATTGCCACTTTGCCGGCTCGTATCACCTTTTGTCATTGTTTGTCATAACAATTTTTTGCTTTATTATTGACATGATTGTGTCAAGTATAGTTCAAGTCAAACTAAAAAAAAAATTATTTTATACTTTAAAAACTGTTGGGGCCCACCTTATTGTGTTACATACCGTACAGTATTTAATCCTGTAGAGTGTTTGCTTGGCATTATTTTTAATAATACTCTATTTAAGGTTTTCCAAGACTACTTAAGAAAAGTTAAGCATGTTTGAGTCATTGTTTGACTTAATAACACTGCCTTGTTTAAATATATTTTCCATTAAAATAAAATTATTGATGATTTTGTATTCATTTTGAATTGTTATCAAAACATATACTTTACAAATCTTAGACGTGGCAGTGGTACCGTAACGTTCGTAGCCCCGTAAATTAGGGGCCCTAACCTCAAATCTAAGAGACCTCCGTGTTATCCGAGATTCTGGTTATCCGAGGTAGTCTCGGTCCTAATAACCTCGGTTAATCGGGAGTGTACTGTACTTGAAAAGTTTCAATTCAATTTCTCTTTTTTTTGAAGCAATGACACAACTGTATAAGAGTATCTGCAAAAAGGACCAGTAAAAGATGATAATTGTATTACATTTACCAGCATTACGGTACGAGTACATCCACATTGAACTTAACTAATTAGGGTTCCATAAGGTTCAGCTAATATAAAATAATCTTAAAACTATGTAGAAAGGCAGAGCTATTACGGGACTGTTTAGATACTCCTGTGCTTGTGCATTGTGATGAAACACCTACTATATAAAAAGGTTGAATAATGAATCCTGAATTTAAAAATACAAACAGCATTTATTTGCTGAAATATGTTTACAGTAAGTTAACTGCATAGTTTACAGTGGTGTATCCCTAAAGTATCTGTATATTTTAAAAGAAAGTCAAGTGACTGATTTGGATGATTTTGGAAAGGGATCGAGTTGAGCTAGCTTACCTGAGAAAATAAGTTTAGGGGCATTGGGGCAAAATATCAGAGTTCTGTTTTGTGGCCTTTTATTGTGTATGTTTTAGCCCCTGGACACTAATTTTCTTAGATAAGCTAGCTGAACTTAAAATGATTTCTTACCTAGCTGTATGACATTTTTGTAAAGAGTTGCCAAATGGTTTTTTGGACAAAACAAGGTCTGGATTGATAAGGATTGGATGTATTACCAACAGAAAAAGACTAAGCTATATATATATTTACCTGTCGTGCAATAGCAACAGCAGTTTTCCGGTTGTCTCCTGTAAGTAGAATCACCTCAAGCCCCCGACTTTTGAGAGTATAGACAGCAAGATGAGCTTCTGGTTTGACAATGTCGGCTACACTCCACATAGACACCAGGATACCTGTCGAACAGGAAAGGTGTAATTTTTATGGACTTCCTGGAAAGAGGCATTATAATAAACACTCAAAGGTATTGCCACACTCTGCAAAACCTCAGAAGATCGATACAAAACAAGCACAGGGGAAAGTTAAGCTCAAAGATCCTACTGATTCACATTAACGCCCGGCCCCACATGGCAAATGTCATTCAAGAAGTTCTTGAATCTTAGAAGAGGGAGTTGTTTCGTCATCCGCTGTACAGCCCGACCTGGCACCGAGCGACATCCACTTAGTCCCAGCAATGAAGAAGTGGCTGGCTATGCAGCGTTTTTATGACGACGCACCGCTACAAGAAGAGGTAACCAAGTGGTTGAAGGGGCAGGCGGCCGAATTTTATGACAAAGGAATTTCCAAGCTCGTCCATCCTATTAGGATAAGTGCCTTAATTTAAATGGTGAATATGCAGAAAAGTAGTTTTTTAAGGCTAGTTCACATGTGGCGACTAACTGTGGTAAAAAAATCGGGTCTTTATGCTTTGCAACAAATGGCCCGTGTCTCAAGCATTGAAACTCTCAAAACTATTTACTTTGTTCTAACAAATCTACATATAGTTTATTAAATAGTTTTATATGGTGGTACCACCAAAAAAATCTAGACAAAATTATAAGTCAACAGTAAAAAGCTCTTAGAATTATCTTTAGTATAAAAAACAGAGAATCAGTTAGGGGATATTTATTTTTCTAAATTGGGTATAATGACCATCTACGATTTTTACTTTTTAAAACTATTCTACATGTAAAATGTTCAGATCATCAAACTAACAATTTCCACAGTTACAATTTGCGAAACACCAGACATGTAGAACAATACAGATTGAAGCTATTTGAGAAAAAACCCAGTTTTATTGGCAAAAAAATTTATTTAGCCTGCCAAAAATATTTTTAATGAACATAATTACAATAGGTAACTTTAAAAAACTACTGAAAAACTATTTTCAATCTAAATCATTATATTCAATAGAAAAGTTTTGGAGATTAAATAATTAATTATAAATATGTTGTGTTATAGTTTATGTTTATAATCTTTTATTTAGGATATACACCTAATTTATTGTTTCTCTTTTCCTTTCTTTGATGCAATTCATGTATTTCCTGTAAAAATACTTTGATGAATGAAGATGTTTTGTATTTTTTTGTATTGTATAATTCGCCGTGACTTGGTTTCCGCTACTATAAGTCGCAGACTCGCAAGCAAAATATAATCTGAGTTCACACATCACGAGTTGCAGCGACTAGTAGCGTTTTGCGAATCGTTTCGTATTAATATTTGTGCTGTGAAAAATAACAATACAACAATCAGCTGTTAAATTATTAACTCATGTTCCATATGACTGGCGATGGTTACTAGACTGTTCAGACATGGCAATATACGCGCTACCGACTCGCGGCGAATGAATCACGTGACTCTCAAGGTTGGCTACTAGCGACTACTCGCCACAAGAGTTGAACATGTACGACTTTCTACGCAAGTGAATCATTACTCGCTGACGAGTGCTAGTCGCCGCTACTTTTTCTTCTGACATAAGGCTGTGTCACACTGGGACACAGTTTTGCGATTAGTAGCTGCTACTCTAGTCGCAGCAAGTAAAATCGCCATGTGTAAACGAGCCTTAAGTTTGGATTTCATCTCTATACTGTAATAAAATTTTGTCCAAGACTTTTTTATTCTTAATTCCAAGACATAATCTACTTTCTAGATAGCCTTCATATTTCCACAACCAACAAAGATTTTGCAACATTTTGTCAATAATAAGGGTCTGCATTTTCTCAAGATTTTTGCATCGGGTTGAGTCAACAGTTGACCTGAGGGATCGGTTCAGGCCGTAAATAATTTTCAGACCAATCTTAGGTTGGGTATACGGGTGTACAAGCGGCTCTATTATTGATTCGAGACGAGCTTTCAACTCACAATCGCAGAAAGCCGTTGAAAACTGATGATTTAGCCGCAATGGCAGTAGACAATGATGATACCTTCGTGACCGTAGAAAAGGTTCAGGATTTCACCATGATTGCAGGATATAATGTAAAATATTAAATGACCGATACTATTAAAAGAAGTCTGTTAAGGCCTGAGATCCGAAGGTCAAAATGTTTTATCCGATTTGAAGTAAAAAGGTCTGGCTCAACCCTTAGTAATAAGCAATAGTAATAGAATATTTTATAATCATAAAATCAACATAGTAAATGACTAACCTTAGATTATAATAGATTGAAAGAAATGTACTAAACAACGATTATTCAGGGTGTCCTGTAAGTAAACAGCCTGACTCAAGAATATGGTTCTATGGTGTGACGGTGCAATTTCGTCCTGGGACAAAATTGTACTGTCGGCCTCGGATAGCTAATCTAATTGAGTTAGTACAGGGTTAGTAGTAATAATAATAGTTAAGTTTTAAAACATGGGCTCAGATATGGTCGTTAAAGCATCAGCTTTCAGTAAATGACACATTCATCACTGCCCGGGTTAGGCCTTAATTTAAACAAATTAGTAATTAGGTGTTAATTCCGGGAGTGAAACACTGGTCGTAATTAACTAAAATCTTAACTTCGAAAATAAAATAAAACCTCTACTTAATGGATATACCGTGTTTCACTTTTGGAATTAAAACCAATTATACTTACAATTAACCGATTCGATTGTCGCGGGTCCACCGAGCTATTTCGCCCTGGCCTAACACCTACTATTCGACGACACCAGAGTTATTTCACCACTGGCTAATTACCGGGCTATTCCGCCCTCGACCTACGGTTTCGCGATGTATATGCGCGGATCCGAGAGCTATTCCGCCCTCGGCCTAACACCTAGTATTCGACGCTACCAGGGTTATTTCACCACTGGCTTATTTACCGGGCTATTCCGCCCTCGACCTATCGTCTCGTTATATCCGCGGGCCCGAGAGCTATTCCGCCCTCAGCCTAACCCTAGTATTCGACGCTTCCAGGGTTATTCCACCACTGGTTATTACCGGGCTATTCCGCCCTCGCCCTACCAGGGAGATGTTGCTAGCTATTCGCCCAGCACTCAAGTCCGACTGGCCCGTGTCCTGCGCCGCTTTTATAGGGGTCGCGACGCTAGCGCAGTACGTGGCCGCTCGGAGAACTAATGACTCTGCGCGGGCCATTTGAATTCGTACGAACGCTCGTTTTCTTATCTCGTGAAATTTTTACCGTTACACCCCCTCTTTAGTTCGGGGTGAGAAAAAAAACGCACGAAAAAAAATGCTCTCACTTCAGAGAAATCAACAATGGGTGCCATCGTTTCCCGTAACTGAAAGGAAAACTCTCGTATAAAATAAAACAATATTCTTGTGATGTTAAAGACGCTTTTTCAACATCAAATAGGTAGAACGACTATTAATCGTCATGCCGTCCTAGAAAAGGCCTAAGACTCTTAACTCGAAATACTTGTTTCTATTTCCATTCGGGGGGTTTACTTTGTACCGACCTGTGACAATAACAGGACCCTTCATATTTCGGCGCTAATCGACTCGCAATAGCTTCGGTTTTCGACGAGAGCACGTGAGTTCGCTTTAGAACGGACCGAACAACATTGTACCGCACATCCCTCCTCCGTAGGTTAGCCTGTCTATTTAAGGCAGTTCGGAGGTTCTTTTGGGCGTCATCGTACAATTTCGTACAATGCCGTATCCGTTTGGCATGTTTTGCCTCACGCTCTGGCTCTAATAATTCCGAAGTATATTTTCCGTATGAGGACGTATATTTCCTTACTTTTGCAAACGAAGTATGATACCCACGATCTGGGTTCGTTTGCTCGATAACCTTTGAGGATTGTAGCGATGGCTTGAAATGCGCGACTACGGGACAAATTGTGGCTCGTACATCTTCAGCTAGAGGTTGCTTAACGGGATTTTGCAACAAAGCATCGGCAACTCTATCGTTCTCTTTAAGATTGGTGACCTCAAATTCGTCATCTTGTTTCAAATGACAAGTTTTAACGTTGTACGTGATCAAGCCTAGTTTATGTAGCGTATCTACTCCCAAAACAGCATCGCTAGTCAGCGAAGGTAGATGGACTGCATTTAAAACGTTTTTCCTATCGTCAATCGTAGCCTCAAACTCGAAAAGCTCAGTTTGTTTTGCTCTAGTACCGTCCGCAAATCGAGTCTCAATAGAAACTGGCTTAGGCCTAATTTCACAACTTACCAAGTGTTTCGCCACTTTGGAACTAATCAGGCTCACAGCTGCCCCAGAATCCAAAAGAGCCAAACAGTTTTTCCCATAAATAGAAATCGCAACGTACGGCCGATTGTCCGTGGGATCTTTGACTGACCCAAAACCCATCGGAAATATTTTAATACGCTCCAACCAATCGTTCCAACTAGAGGGTTTTTGTGTAACCTGGGAATGAGCTCCTACCACCAGAGTCCGAGTTTCGTTTCCCAGATTGCACCTACAATTGACTGTTTTAATACCCACAGTTTTACAGTTAAAACATTTTAAAACTTTTGGTCGTCGGCAATCTCGGTATAAGTGCCCTATTTTATCGCAATTCCAGCATATGATCGATCGTCGTGCAGTTTGTTTCACCTGCCTACATTCTCCTATACTCGCGATATTTGCGGTATGCGCGGCATTCGGCCTACGTGTATTGTAGTTATCGTTATTTTGATTAACCATGCGGTTATTCCACCGCTGGTTAAAATCGTATTTTCGATGAGAAGCTTTATTCTGTAATTGATGTAATGATTTATTTACATCGTCACGCATTCCTTCATTCTCGCATTCGTGTGCATTTATTTCTGATACATTAATGACGGATTGTGCAAAATGTTTTTCCATTTGCTTTCGTGTCTGATAAGCTGTTTCCGGTACCAGTGCCATCGACGGCGGCGGTGGCGGACGATATAACGCTTTGTCGCGCATATAACTTTCAACATGCGTCGCCTGCTTAATCATCTCCTCAAGAGAGAATATTTCTCCTCTCCTCATCGTTAACTTGTAGTCCGGTCGCATATTGGTAAAAATAATGTCAAGCTTTTGTTGTAACGAAAGCCCGCCTTTCCTTCTCATTAACGTCGTTATCGCAACTACAAAGTCCCTAAAAGGCTCCTTTTCGCCCTGTGTTCGACGCCTTATCTCCTCATCGAGGTTTCGCTGATAACCCTGTGGCAGAAATTGTAGCGCGAAACTATCTCTAAACGTCGCGAATGTTGGCCAGAAATCTTTCCCATTTCTGTACCACAAAAGTGCAGTACCGGTAAGCAATTCGGGAAGTGCTTTAAGTATCTCGTCGTCGTTAATCCCGTATGCTTCGATTAGCTCGTCAAGTCGTTCGAGAAATGATATGGGATCTTTATGTCCGTCAAACTTCACATTCCATTTTCTAACAATACTACAAACTGATGGCGTAGTGTTATATTCGTCCGTCAAATGTCGCATTTTGCTAACAGTAGGCCTATTTGACGTAACGGTTTGCGTACTCATAATAGGCAACGAGCTGTAAGTTAATCCGCCCGTGCCTCGCATTGGCTCGTTAGTATCGTAAGTATTCGATCGTCGTGTTAAATTTGAAATTGATATACACAATTCCTCGAACGGTACATTTTCTGGCATTCCTAAAATTTCTTTGATTTTATTAACCTCGCTCGTGGTCGTTTTCGATATCGCCCCAGTACTCGTAGTATTAGTAATCGTCGAAGTACTGGTCGTTTCGATCGATTTGGTCGTTTTCGATATTGCACCAGTACTTGTAGCACTACTCACGGTGCTCGACGTAGTCCTGAGAGTTTTATCACTCTTATCCGCAATAGTTCTACCCGGAGTAACTACGTAGTATACGGGCCAGAGAAGATAAGACCAAATGTTTAAGAACAATTGTAAAACTCGCATTTTCGATTTTTACCGTTCTTACTCACTGAAAAACAAATCGTTCGGGCGCCAGCCAAAAATGGCAAAAATTAACGATCGATAACTATATAATTACCAAGTCCCTGTTCGCAGCGCCATTTGTGACGGTGCAATTTCGTCCTGGGACAAAATTGTACTGTCGGCCTCGGATAGCTAATCTAATTGAGTTAGTACAGGGTTAGTAGTAATAATAATAGTTAAGTTTTAAAACATGGGCTCAGATATGGTCGTTAAAGCATCAGCTTTCAGTAAATGACACATTCATCACTGCCCGGGTTAGGCCTTAATTTAAACAAATTAGTAATTAGGTGTTAATTCCGGGAGTGAAACACTGGTCGTAATTAACTAAAATCTTAACTTCGAAAATAAAATAAAACCTCTACTTAATGGATATACCGTGTTTCACTTTTGGAATTAAAACCAATTATACTTACAATTAACCGATTCGATTGTCGCGGGTCCACCGAGCTATTTCGCCCTGGCCTAACACCTACTATTCGACGACACCAGAGTTATTTCACCACTGGCTAATTACCGGGCTATTCCGCCCTCGACCTACGGTTTCGCGATGTATATGCGCGGATCCGAGAGCTATTCCGCCCTCGGCCTAACACCTAGTATTCGACGCTACCAGGGTTATTTCACCACTGGCTTATTTACCGGGCTATTCCGCCCTCGACCTATCGTCTCGTTATATCCGCGGGCCCGAGAGCTATTCCGCCCTCAGCCTAACCCTAGTATTCGACGCTTCCAGGGTTATTCCACCACTGGTTATTACCGGGCTATTCCGCCCTCGCCCTACCAGGGAGATGTTGCTAGCTATTCGCCCAGCACTCAAGTCCGACTGGCCCGTGTCCTGCGCCGCTTTTATAGGGGTCGCGACGCTAGCGCAGTACGTGGCCGCTCGGAGAACTAATGACTCTGCGCGGGCCATTTGAATTCGTACGAACGCTCGTTTTCTTATCTCGTGAAATTTTTACCGTTACAATGGGTCAAAATAAAGAGAAAATCAAGAATACAATTTTTTTTCCTAAATCACTTTCTTGACCAGATATCTGCCATTTTGTATTTTATATATTTTATTTTCACTTTATTTTAACCCATCGAACCATTTTCCAGAGTTTGGTTTACTTATGGGACACCCTGTATATGCAACTGAAGAAGTAGTTTATAATATTTGTGTTAAGTAGGCCTACAAGGAAACTCATGATATGCTGAATAAAGCATATTTTAAGTAAATTAAACCATTACTAATATTTTTGTAAAGACAAAACATCACTATTTGGTTCAGCACCACAATAAAATGTTAGCCCAAATCATAATTAGGAACTCTCTTGTTACTTCAACTGGCATAGGCCTGGTTACAGAGGTTAACTGAGATTTTGGGACTATTCAAAGCATATATGGATTAAAGTTAAAACTTTGAAATGTTTTAATACAAACCATTAATAGCAACCAGAATAGCTGTATGGCCCAGTTCTTCTTCTTCATCCATCTTCATCTCTGAGTCAGAATGCAGTTCAATACCATTCCTGACCATCCACTCTCTATTACCAATGACAACCTGAACATATGTAGTTATTATTACAATTTGAATCTAAAACACCAGAATTTCTTAGCTTAGGTACATGCAACTCAACTTCCCTAATTGTCTTTGAAATGACTCACCATCATTCCTAGTCCTAATAATATAATACCTACCATTTTAGTTTTATAAAGGAAGTCAACCAATACAGAGGGGTGCAAAAGTAGGTATACAGTAAGAAACTGTTTTTATAAAAAATATATTCATTCATACAAAAACCAATCTTTTCCAATTTATTTTAAGAGTATTACGACACCTAAATTAACTCTTAAAATGTCGTACTTGACAATAACACTCACTTCCCCGTGTGTTCAAACTGTTTGCCTGTTCGTACTGTATACTTACTTTTGCACCCCTCTGTATTATGAGGAGCTAACATTTTTAGTTATATTGTTGAAAAAGATTATTTAATGTAAATATTATGGTATTAGATGTTAGCATTTAAAAATGTTATAAAAAACAGTATTTAAAACAGTGTTATTAGCTCAATAGCTTAAATAAAACATGTATCTACAACTTTTTCACCGGCCTGAAATAATCCAAAATTGCAATTGATTTACAAAATGAAAATAACACATTTAAGTGGTAATCACTCTTAAGGGTGGATGTGAAAACTATTCATGTCATAATTTGAATTTGCTTCTGTGAAAACCATTGTGGAAGAACCCATTACAGTTACACTCCATAGTAAGTCTGTTACCCTTAAAGTTTGTCTTTATTATCTGCAAACAAGATGTGGTTTGGTTAATTTTACAGTTGGTGTCATTTAAATGAGTGAAAGCATTTAACTCTTCAATTAATCATCGTACGCTGATAAATACTTGGAATAAAAATGTAAATGTGTGTCTGTGAATAAAAATGACTTTGTAAAAAGCCCAAACCTCGTAAGTTGTATTGTTTGGGTCTGTTTCCTCTGGGGAGCCGATGTTTAGAAGCCGTTCTAGTTGCAGAGATTTGGAAGCAGCTGAAGGAACTAGTGGAAGTAGGTCAACTAGCACTCCATTCAATAGCACTTGACTCTTGGAAGATCTGTAATTATTGACAATCTTCTCATATACAATAAATAAACTGGTAACATTATTTACTTCGATACTTAACTCTGTTAAAGATGTAATTCATATTATAATGTCCATAATAGTTATGTTAGAAAAGAACATATGATGTTTCCTTGGCAACAGAGTTTAGTTGTTTGTTATATTTTGATGAAGTAAGATGTATACACAAATCTAAGTTTTTCATTCTATCAGTTTTACTATTAAATTAACTTAATTTTTGATCCACAAGACGACTTGTTATTTTAGACGATATTTCCAACATGGTAGCAGAACAGAGTGGTTAAATTAATTGAGAAGAAGTTAATAGAATAGTGAATGATGAGTAATGAAAAACAGATTGAAAAATTAAGAGGGACTGAGAATTTCACAACATGGAAAATAGTCATGAAGGTAATCTTAGAATGTGAAGGAGTTTATGGAATTGTTAGTGGAGAATTCGGAAAACCAACAGCAGGTACACCAAATTATGACGAAAAATTGGTAAATTGGTCAAAAAATGATGCAAAAGCCAGAAAATATATTGTTTTATCCCTTGAGACGAATCCTCTACTTAGAGTAAGCAATTGCTCTACAGGAAAAGAGATGTGGGAGAAACTTGTCCACATTTATGATGTCAAGTCAACTGAAAATATTGACATATTGAGAAATAAGTTCCATAACATTTCTTGGGAACCTACCCTTGGAATGAATGGTCATCTGGAAAAGTTTGACGAAATCCAAAACCAATTAACAATATACGGTAAGCCTATTAATGAAGACGATTTGTGTGCTCGACTCCTTCAAACTCTACCAAAGGAATATGATCACATATATGTGACTTGGCACGACTCACCAAGGGAGGTGAAGACATGGGACATTCTACAGAAGAAATGTCTCAACTTTGAATTACGTCTAAAGGACAGAGACGAGATGGATGTAGCAGTAGCCATGGTTTCCAAAATAAAAGTAAGTTCTAAACAGCCAAAATATATGGGAGCCAAAAATGCCAAAAAGGGAGACTTGCAAAAATTAGGAGCGATAAAATGTTTTTCATGTGGCAAAAATGGTCATCTATCTAAAAACTGTCGAACAGGTGTAATTTGTTTTAAGTGTCACACAAAAGGACATAAATCAAATGAATGTACCCGTGAGATACAAAATGCTGCAATGATGACTCGATCAAATCTAGAGGTAGGCCTAATTGATAAGTCATTTTTCAGTGAATGTGACAACTGGCTTGTTGACAGTGGTGCTTCTCACCATGTGACAAACCGCAGGGACTGGTTCGCCACTTACAAACCATTTGATACTCCTAAAAAGATGGACAGTGCTCGCCAAGGTGTTCATATTCAGGCCTTGGGGTCAGGAAAAATAGACGTTATGGTTTTTGATGGTAAACAGTGGACTTACAGGTATTTCGATGATGTTTGGTACTGTCCTGATGTTGCTTGTAACTTATTCTCTGTGAGGAAAGCAGGTGAAAAAGGCATTCACCAGACTGTGAAAAACAATGGTAAGTCATGGGTGTTTTCTCAAAACGGAACAACCATTGCTTTGGCTATATTTAATACAGCTAATCAATTGTATAATATGGTTGTTAAGGTCATTCCACCAAAAGAATCATGTTTTATTTTGAAGAAAATAAACAATAACGATGATAAACACTACTTTAACATTGAAGAGAGTAGCAATGATATCGAGAATGATCCCCTTGACAGTAGGCAATCAATTCTAAATAATGAGACCAGAAATCAGCTTGTTGACAGTAATCAGGACAATATATTCCATGAAGAAGAGCAAGATATTGTGTATCCAGGAACCAATGATACTGATGAGCAAGACATGTTGTGTCCTAGTGATGATAACGCTATTCAAGGTGATGTATTACAAGATGAGACTTATAACCTGAGAAAACGTGATGGAATAAAAATACCTATGAGATATAGAGATGATTCTGTCATGTGTGTCAGTGACAGAGATAAAAATGAGCTTTTAGCTTCTGCAATACTTACAAACGAAGTACCGGAAAATTATGATGAAGCAATTAGATCTGAGCATGTCGTCGATTGGAAATCCGCTATGGATGAAGAAATAAATTCATTAATAAAAAATAAAACTTATGATTTGGTTGATCAACCAAAAGGAAGAAAATTCATCGATAATCGCTGGGTATTTGCACTGAAAACAAATTCTGAGAACGAGATCATTCGTTTCAAGGCGCGTTTGGTCGCAAAAGGATTTACTCAGCGTCCTGGTATTGATTATGGTGACACTTTCAACCCTGTAGCTCGGTTTAAGACGATGCAAACTATGTTAGGCTATTCAGTTCAGTACAATCTTGCTATCAAACAATTTGATGTTAAAACAGCATTTTTGAATGGCAATCTTGATGAGACTATTTGGAAGAGTAAGCTTCAACGGTGTGTTTCCAAATCTTCAATGGAAGCAAAATATGTTGCCGCTAGCGAGACCTGTAAATCCCTTCGTCTTGTGAAAGAGATTGGCGCAATTGAGGAAAGGTCTATTCCTATACTACATGTGGGCAATCAAAGTGTGATTAAACTTATGAACAATCCAATGTTCCACGATCGCTCTAAACATGTTGAGACGAGATACCATTATGTTCGACAGTTGGTCTCTGGGAAACAGATCACTGTCAGATACATTCCAACAGAAGAACAAACCGCTGATATTTTAACAAAGGGCTTATCATCATTGAAACATGTTAAAATGAAAACTTTCATTGGGATGGTGACCTCTTAACTAAAACTTATTTTTCTAAAATGTATTATGGACATTACGGGGGTGTGTTAAAGATGTAATTCATATTATAATGTCCATAATAGTTATGTTAGAAAAGAACATATGATGTTTCCTTGGCAACAGAGTTTAGTTGTTTGTTATATTTTGATGAAGTAAGATGTATACACAAATCTAAGTTTTTCATTCTATCAGTTTTACTATTAAATTAACTTAATTTTTGATCCACAAGACGACTTGTTATTTTAGACGATATTTCCAACAAACTCTACTGGCCAAGAGTTAACTTTGCTAGTTTTAAAAATACTTGGTTTTAAATGAGTTTAAACTGTTTCAAAAAGATGTCCACGACCTTTAAAAAGGTATATTATAAAAGACATACAACCTTTAAAATAAATTTGCTTTGATTCCTTGAGCGCTTTGCCGATGTTTTATTTTTTACGAGCAAACAAAATGTATGTGGATTATTTACCTTCGACAGATAATACAGTATTTCTTTGTTGATTCATCATTAGATTATTTTAAATGTCAGTATTAGCTAAGGAACGATTTCTATTACCTCAGAAATTCTCTGTAACATTCTAAATGCTTAGCGATAACACTTTGTTGGCTGCCAGACTAGATTAACTTCTGGACCAATGAACTAGTGGTAATGAATTGTCTGACTAGTAAATGAATGTCATAACCAAATTCAACTCATCCCAGATCTAGCCTACCCTAACCGGTGATGAATTGACAGAATTCATCTGAGAATACTATTATTTTCTTAGATTAAAAGGTAGTTAAAATTAGTTGGTGGTAAACTACCTGGCTTGGTTGCTGAAGTTGGCAGTTTTTTCAGAGGTGGTAGCAGCTTGCAGCATAGACGCAATATGAGACACAGAACATTTCAGACCACACCCTGGTACTGACTGGAAGTTGGAACATCTCCCTGACATTTCAGAATTGATTGTCTCCTTGATGAAAGTCACAATTGCTATAAAACAACATTTATAATAAACATTTTATGGTAGGATAAATAATGGTTAAAGAATACACTTTAAGTTTAAATATATCATGTATAATACGAATATGTGATTTAAAAAAATATGACGTTCTTTGGGAAATATGACTTAAGGCCAGGGTTTTAAAGGATTTCGTAGTGGATAGCTTTAACACCACGCTTACTTACTTTACTTTAGCGTGCTTACTTTACTGATGAAAATATATGAAAATGCTCAAATAAACATATAAACACAAGGTTTTAGCTCATTATTCTGTAGTAGAGTCTTTGTTCAGGGTAAGCTAATAGTAGGGTAAGCCTGCTGTTAAAACCTATCCACTACCAAACCATGAAATTAAAAAATATAGAGTACATAAGGAACAATTACAAATTAAGTAGACTAAGAAAATCTTAACTAATATGGTGGATGGCCGATTGTAATTGTACTACCTCACACATAAGCTACGTTCCATTAAAGAGAGTAGTATCTATGGCTAAGAAATATTACTATAATATTGTATCTGTAATTATTAATCAATACTATCTGCATTTTATCCAAGCAATGCTCTTTATGTCAAATACCTGATGCAATTGGGTGTTCACTGTTGATTTCTGCAGTGCCCACAATGCACAGTAGTTGTGCGATGTTAAATACTGTGTCATCAACAAACAAACAGAGTCGGGAAACCATTGGAGTTCCATAAGTCACAGTGCCTGTCTTATCCAGCAATATCTTTTTAACCTACAAGAAATAATACACTTAGTCATTAGGAAAACAAATTAATGTATAAATACTTGACAATTTATATATAAGATTGATGAAGTCTTTTATAATACGAGGTGGGGCTGTAAAACAATGAGATTGGCTTTCCAAGAGACAAACTGCGCGTACCTGAAGGCCAAATATATTGTCAAAATGCCTGCCATCCTCCCTCTACATTCCAGCCTGGTTTTGACTTGGCTTGCCTGGTTCGGCCACAGCCTTCATTGATCATGAATTTGCCAATCATAAGAAAAAATGTAGGTGTTATAATTCAATTCAATTCAAAGATACTTTATTCAAAAATATACAAGAGTATAACATGAATGGTGTTCAGAACTTTACCTCATACATTATATAATAACAAGATAGAAAACTCATATATATTTTTATAATATTATAAAATATTATATTATATTAAGCAAAATGTCAATGTGAATTATTTTTTTAAGCTTGGTAACAGTTTAAAAAACTCTTTAAACATTTTAAAAATACCCTAAACTGTTAAGGATGTTCCTTAATGTTTCCCTAAGTGTCAAACATTGTTACATTAGTTAGTACTTTGGTTCAGAAATTAGAATTTTGAGCACCACTTTTTTAGTACACAGTTCTCTCATGTTGAAATGTTCGTGAAATATTGGTCAAACTGATTCTTTGTAAATTCTAACAGTCCAAGTAACTGTACTCAAGACAAATATGACTTATGAGATTGCCTACTTTCCAATGTTTTAATCAGTTTTTGAAGTTGAAGGACGGCCTTGAGGCTAAGCATCTATGTTGTCTTCTCTGTCTTCTTTGAGTCGTTTATATCACTAATAAACCCGAGTCCATGACACATATTTATCCCCATACACTTGTTGTAAAAGAGAACTTATCGAGCTTCACAAAAAATATTCCCTTGATATGTTGTTCAGTAGTTTTCTAACAAACTGCAAATAGACTAAACTGATTTTCAAAGAGTTGTTTAGCTTCCAGATTACTGTACTTAAAATTATTTACGATACGTGCATATAGTAATCCTTTGTTGCTGTTTTGGCAACTAGTTTCGGTTATTCTGAACCATCATCAGACTTCAAGGTGTCAGGTAATCACTTCATTTGGAGGTCGTTATCAGAGGCCAATAAATAAAACATATATGAGACGTGGAAACATAGAACGGACACACGTTTACAAAAAAACACGAAACACTCAAAAGAACATTGACAAAATATAACACGACCGAGCTGAAGTAAATCCTAGACTAAAATCTTAGTATAGACTTTACTTCAGCCCGTTCGATTTTGTCAATATCCCTTCGTGTGTTAAAGTGATTACCTGACACCTCAAGACCTTAGACAGAACTTAAGATGTTTCCAAATATTGTAAATGAACATATGTTACGTTTAGTTTTCTTTTAAGAACAGTTCCAATAAATGGCTTGTTGTTATATTGAACAAACTTGATAAAACTTGTTGGGGCAAAGGTAAATATTCACCCCACGCGATATATTATAGCGATAGGTGTGGGCACTCGTAAAAGGTAAATTCGTTCTCTGAACATACATGTTTTTTATCTTCGTCCAGTAACACGTAAGGCTTCAACAATGGATTCAGATTTAAAGTACAACCTTGACCATAAAATAGTTAATTTAGATGTTTCGGTGGAGAGAGATATTCAAAGAGCGATGAATCTGTTTGACTAAGGGACTTGTCTGCTATTCTATGGTTCTTGATAGATTGATGTAGTTGAAGCGTTAAAACATGGTAAAAATCAAATAAATAGTAGTTCACTGAATTTGAGCTACGACCTCCAAGATCAATAAGTAAGTTGTTGGTACAGAAAACACTTGCTAGTCCAGCTTGTCTTGGATTTCAAGGCAGGGCCGTTTGAGAATACTTACTTACTTACTGCTGTGGCCACTGGTACCCTAGATGGTACTTGGCCTCCCCAACACACTGCCTCCATAGGTCTCTGCTTCTTGCATCTTCCTTCCTTCTCCCTAGCTTCCTCAGGTCTTTCTCCAC